TGTGCCAGAAGAAAGTTAGTGCCTAAAACCAACTACAACTAATGGAAAAGAAGCTAAACTGACAATATCAGGAAGCAAACAGCAAGGGTCTCTTCTCCCTTTGTCAATCATTCTAGTCTCTTTCTAATGCCCCCTATTTATGGAATGTAAAGGAAGCCAAATGGCAAAGGAGAAATGTAGTTTGCAAAACTTCAGAACACAGAAGGGTGTCTAGAGCTGAGAGAATAATTGGCATAAATTGAATAAAGAAACTAAGTAAATACAAATTTAAAAAGTTAAGAAATTAGAGAAAAACAATCACAGAATGGGCCTGAATGAAAAAAAAATCCATAAAAAATGGCAGAAATAAATCTAAATATACTAGTAATTACATGAAATATAAATGGCCTAAGTGTTCCAGTTCAAAGACAAAAATGATCAAATTGGATTTAAAAAGCCCCCAAATTCAAACTCTAGGCTGGAATGAAGAAACACTCTTCTAAATAAACAAAACAAACACCGAGAATTAAGGAGGAACTCCTAATAAAAAATAGAAATATTTAAACTAAATATTAACAATAACATACACACACACACACACACACACACACACGGTGGGGCAGGTTTACAGTTGTTCTTATAGAAAAGTAAAACAATAATAAAGAAATACTAAAAATATAAGAAAAACTCTGTGTTTTGCATATTCATAACTGTAAACCTAATTTTGTCTCACCCTATGTATATATAAAAACTTGTGGGTAATGGCTACAACAGAGATGGCAGTATAACTATAGTATACAGAGATATTTATAACTTTTAAATGCATATGCTTGAAGATAGGCTGGAAATAAATGAGGTTAACCCATCTCAAGAAGTTAGAAACAAAAACAGTAAAACACTCAAATAAAATAAAAAAAAAGTAATAATGATAAAATCAGAAATTAATGGAATAGAAACATACTATAGCGAAGATTAACAAAAAACAAAATTTGAATCTTAAAAAAAAGACTAAACACTGTCCCTCTTTGAAGATTATATAGGATATCCAAAAGAATTTACAAATAATTTATAAGAATCATTAAGAGTTTAGTAAGTCCAGATACAGAAGAAATAAAAAGAGATTACCTATATTTTACACTAACCAACAATTAAGAAATAAAGTGGGCTAGATAATTCGGTTTAATATTCTCATTAGAGAATGTTTAGAAAAGTTGGACAAAATCTATTTTAAAGATGTTTGGAGGGCATCAGGGAGTTAAATTCATTAAGGTGAACCCTTTATTTGGGACCACTTATTCCCTGGGAGTTTTTGAAGATTTGTAAGAGTCCACTGAGAAGCTAAGCATAGCTAAGGGACTAGGGATTCAAAGGTTGAATCTAGCATCAGCCAAGAAGTGGGGGCCCTCGTAACACCAATCCTTCAGAGTTGTAGGAGTAAGGGTTAACAGGAAGGAGCACTAATACAGTCTATAGTTCAGCTCTGAGTGACTTAAATGACTCAGAAAATCTCAGTCTCTAAAACAGGTAAAAATGATCCTGAATTACTAATGGCCAAGTGTGTGGTAGAGAATGTGAAATAATTCTGTGGAAGATGAAAATTGGGCATCAAATGGCCTTTACAATTATTCAAATATAGTACTGGCATACAATGAAAAATAGTAGGACACAAAAGTATAAAAGGATTAACAGAAACAAAAGAAAAATAAAAACAGACCAAAAGAATTCCAGATTTCAGAATCATTAAACACATACTATAAAATAATGCTTTTCATGTTCAGGTAGCTAAAAGACTGAAAATTATAACAAGACAATTGGAAACTGCAAGAGTGACAGATTTTCATATTTACAAATAGAAATTTGAGAACTGAAAATACAAAGGGCTAAGAATAACCAAGACACTCTTACAGAGCAACTATCCGGGAGGAGTAGTTCTGCCAAATATCAAAAACAATACATCAGCTACAGTGTTGAGGATAGTATACAAGGACAAGTACAGAAAAGAAACAACAAAATTCAGAAACAGATGCATACATATACAGAGTGGGGCAAGTAGGTTACAGTTCATATGGAAAAATCATACAATAATTAATAAGTAATAAGACAAGAATAAACTGTGTTTCATGTATGCACAACTGAGAAACAGAACATCTCTGCTGCTCAGGAAAAACTGTTATTATCTCATAAGATTTAAGCTATGAATACCCTATGACCAAGCAATTCCATTCCTAGGTTATACCTTACTTGCCTGGGAGATACATAATAGTGTTCATTGGGAAACTGTGCTTGCCCCAAACTAAAAACATCAGGATTGTCTGCAGTCAATAGAATGAATAAATAAATTGTGGTATGTTAATGCAAAGGTAAATTATAGAACAATGATGATGAATGAAGTATAGTTGCAGGCAACAACATGGATGAATCCCTTGCTCAATTAAAGCAGCAGCCACAGAACAATACAGTATGATTCTATTTACATAAAGTACAAAACCATTAAAAAGTAAATGGCACTGTTTAAGTACATATATAGGTGGGAACATTAAAATAAAAACAAAGACATAGTTATCACAGAAGGAAGGGTAGTATTATTGTCAGGAGATATGTACAGGGAAGCTGGTTGTGATTGGGAAGAAACTACAAAGGGAGTTTCTTGGCTGCTGTCAATGTTCTATTGATTTGAAAGCTGGTTATATAAGTATTTACCTTAAAATGGTTCCTTCAACTGTATATTTATACTTTATGTACTTTTAAATATAATTTTTGAACATTTGTTTCTCGATTGAAAAAACAAAAAACAAAGCTAGGACATGGCAAGAGAAAAATAAACACAAATGACCTATTCATTACTTACTGTGATCTCCAAGATCTGTTTCCTGTTAAATTTGTTAATGGTAAAACAGCCATACTCACACCTAATGATTGTATACTAAATAGTTATATATTTATGTTTACGATAAATTTTTTATAATATTCATTATGGTTGAATTATTAGGTCACAGGTTTTCCCTCAAATTATCAAGAAAACAATTTTCTTTCTATCTTAATTTTACTAATTATAAAATAGTGGACTTAAACAAAGATACAGATCTATTTCCAAGTTCTACCTTTGGGACAATTTAAAGGAACTTATAGATGAGTTAACATAACTGCTTTGAACTCCAAAATGGACATTAGAAATTTGCACCTAATAGTCTGGGATTTAGCAGATCTTCAACATTTCACATGGTCACCACCATTTACCCCCCATTGTTTTAACAGAATTTCCAGGAGACAAAAACACTTTAAAGTAATATCCCTTCACATCCAGTGACTGTTGTATCTCTATAACTGCAAAACTTGAAAATTAGGAAACAAAAAAGTAACATTACCCACAAAATAAATAGTAAAACTGGAGTCTCAACTATGAAACAGGATTTACAAAAATGTTGTCAAATTTCTTAACTTATTTTTAATAAGTAAAAAAATTACTCAGTGGTACCATACAAAATCAAATCATTAATTTTTGCACCTGGCATTGCAATCATCAACAGTAATCTCATAGTACAGAAAAAACAAGAAACAGAATGAAAAAATTATCATTAAAATCACCTTGGCTTTCCAGCTTAGTAGAACTAAACAGAAGAAATTAATGGAAATAACCATTATCTACAGGAAAAAAAAAAAAATGACAAAATGAATTTCATCTCTTTTTTTTTAATTTTTATTTTTTTATCCTCACCCGAGGACATTTTTCCTTTTTTGTTCTGGTACAGTGGGAGGGAGAGACAGGAACAGAGAGAGAGAGAGAAAAACATCGATGCGAAAGGGACACATCGAGTGGCTGCCACCCGCACGACCAACCAGGGCCGGGGACAAACTGCAACCGAGGTACGCGCCCTTAGCGGGAACCTAACCTGGGCCTCTCGGGACCGCAGGTCGACGCTCTAACCGCTGAGCCAAACTGGCCAGGGCGAATTTCATCTCTTTTAATTTTGTTTGTATCTGCTGAAGCACTGATCTCTATAAATAAGAACTGATAGCATGGTTCTAAATTTACTTTCAAAAAGATTTGGAGATTTACATAAAATGATAAGCAAGCTATTAAATCATAGTTGACTTAGAGAATGGCCAGCTGGAAAATATCAATTACTATCATGGAGCACAAACAAAATAAAAGTAGGAAAAGGGGCTTCTTATAGAAAAGTCCTTTTATTACTCCTAGCCTATAAAGTTCCAAGCCATAGAACTCTGATGTTCCTGGATTCAATTTTAAGTAACATTAATTTTAAGCATTATATTTCTAATATGCACAGTGGGAGAGGGTAGGATATGGGGAGCCAGAAATTGCTTATTTCAAAGACAGTCATCTCCTCTAAATTCATCCTGTCCACTTCTCTCCACCTCCCAATGCACAGATTATCTATTTGTTAACCATACAAATTCACCTTCTACTACTAAAGAAATTTATTTGCTCAACTAGATAATACTTTTATAAAAGAATAAAACAGTAAAGCTGGTTGACAGAGTTATTTAAAGTATTTGTAAATAAAATAAAAGGACAGTTAAGTAGAGGGTATAAAAATATACCAAACTGGAGTAATACTGATGTGAACTTAGTTTTTAATTTATTAAAATACCTATTAATCGTCTGAACAGGAGAGCAGAAGAAAAGCAGCTAGAGGGAATGACTTCTGGTGGTTAAGTTTGCTTTAGAACACACACGACAGTCTTAGAAAAGAAACACTTGCTGTTTTCATTGAATTTATACCGTTGAGGACACTTTACACGTCATTTTAATGAAAGCACTTATATGAACATCTGCAACAGTTCATATCAGAAAACAGAAAGTTTCTATACACAAAGACCTAAAAAAATAAAGTTTTATTTTCATCAACTCCCTTTCTGGGAACACAGAATAAAATAATACGTTTCTCTTTAAAATAAAATATTAAATTATTTTTTTCTGTCCATTAGGTTGCTGGAAGAGAAAAATCCAAAACTCAAAAAGTGGTAATTTTTTAATTTCTAGTTTTTATCTATTTCTAAAAAACACCCCCTTCACAAAACCTTTTAATTTTATTATATACTATGACAATTAGGTCTAGAGTTCCAAATAAATAAAATGGCCACATTAGGAGGCATATTGAAGAATCAAACCATTAGCCACATTTATGTGTTCACATTCATGGATTCTCTAAGAGGGCTGTCAGAGTCCATATAATACTGTTAACATTTAGTCCAAGTTAACATGTGTCATCTGACCTACTGCTCATGGCTTACAACACTGATGTTATCAACAAAGATTCTGATTTTTGGGAGATAGTGATATAACAAATTCTGGTTAAACTAGTAGAGGTAACAAGATAGTAAACTGCAACTGTACAACTTAAAATGTCTACTTTTCATCCACCACTACCATCCCTCTGCTTTCCACTGGTGTTAAAGTCAAAGCCTTATCATGAGAGGTTAAGGTACCTGACACTATTTGTATGGAAAAATGGGCCTCAAATACTAAACAACTAAGAAATTATTAAAACAGGAATAAACTTTTTGGATAGCTGCATTTGTTACTTTCACTTTCTTGATCTTTCATCTCTTCTGGTCATGGATATATATTTTTTCCTTCTATTCATCCAGAAAGGTTAATACACAAATTTGTTGTAAGCATTATAAAATGGCATCCAATTCAAAGTTGCTTGTGATCAAATCCACGTATGAAGCACTAGACAAGTGTATTCTATGCTCCACAATCTTTTGCAATTCTTCAGTGCAGTTTCTAATGATATTTCCTTTAAATTAAGGCTTCCTCAAAGAGAAATCCATAGTAAAGAAGCTGATTTTCCAGCTTCTGAATTAAGTGCACTCTTTCCAAAATCAACAAGTCCTGGAGCAAATTTAAGACAACTTCTGTTAATCAGTGTCATGACTAAAGTAGTATCTTACTGGAGGTCCAGGTAAATCTTCATCTCCATCAGTGTCTGGGGCAAATGACACAGTAAGATCCACATATTTCTTTTCAGTTGAAGGTTTCACAAGTTTATGCATTCTATGAAAATTAACCAAAGACAAAAAATTTAGTAAATTCCTAAAATGAGTGATTTGCTGACTAACAATGTCCAGAGAATCTGGACGTCTATCTAGGTTATTTTTAACCCTAATAACCTAATAATTAATCTGCTTTCGTGTGTGTGTGTGTGTGTGTTACTAAAAGCTCTAAACTCAAGACATTCATTTACCTAACAATGAATCAGTTTGGATTACTACTGTTAGTGGTAAAGAATATAAACCATTTATTCAAATCCCCTAACACACAAAAGAATACAAAAAACCCAAAATGCGTTTCGAAAGCAATGATTTCTTTCTTTTTTTTTATTTTTTATCCTCACCCGAGGACATTTTTCCATTTTTTGTTCAGATAGAGTGGGAGGGAGAGAGAGGAAGAGAGAGAGAGAGAGAGAGAGAGAGAGAGAGAGAGAGAGAGAGAGAGAGAAACATCGATGTGAAAGGAACACATCGAGTGGCTGCTACCCGCACAACCGACCAGGGCGGGGGACAAACTGCAACCGAGGTACGCGCCCTTAGCGGGAACCGAACCCGGGTCTCTCAGGACCGCAGGCTGACGCTCTAACCGCTGAGCCAAACCAGCCAGGGCTCGAAAGCAGTGATTTCAAAAAACAAATTCTCCTATACCTCCTATAAAGTTTAGAGAAATCATAAATTCTTCTCAAGTACATCTCTGTAAAGAGTAAAAAGCAAACAAGATTTAAATCTTCCAATGCAAGCTAGAAACATCAATGTAAAACACATTCTTAAGTTTCACCTTTTGCTTATATCCTATGTTTATCCTACATATCAAAAAATTACGTAGACAAATTGGTAGTTACAAAATAGTCACAGGCATGCAAATTATAGCCTAGGGAATATAGTCAATAATATTGTAATAACTATCTATGGGGCCAGGGTGGGTATTTAAAATATAGGGGGGATCACTTTGTAAAGCATATGATTATATAACCACTGTTATATAATGCAGAATGTAAAGTGTAATTAAAAAAATAATTGATGAAAAAAAAAAAATTGATGCCCTGGCCGGGTTTACTCAGTGGTTAGAGCACTGGCCCATAGACCAATGAGTCAAGGGTTTGATTCCAGTCAAGGGCACATACCGCGGTTGCAGTTCATCCCCAGCCCTGGTCGGGGTCACGTGGGAGGCAACCAGTCAATGTGTCCCTCTCACACCGATGTTTCTCTCTCTCCCTCCCTCCCACTCCATCTGAAGATAAATAAAAAATTATCCTTGAATGAGGATTAAAAAAAATATAATCCTTGAGGATTAAAAAGAAATTTCTGGGGAAAAAAAAAAAAATCCCACCCCATTGTTTTTGCTACTGTCACTGCTATTATCTTAAATTAAGTCATTATCTATATACCATATTACTGCATTAGCTTCTAGACAACTGTCTTGTTTCTCTTCTACCTCCAATTTACTTTGCTGCCAGAATTCTCTTAAATGTAAATCTGATGTTATTCTCTTGCCTAATATTATCTGTCATATCCTATCTCATGCCAGGCTGTGAACTATAAAATCTTTAATCTTCAGTAGTACCTTTTCCCATTTTACAAAGATATTCTGTCCCATATATAATTTTCATTCTTTCCACCACTTATTCTTATCACCTCATCCTTAAGTCAATTCAAAATACTTGATTTCCCGCCCTGGCCGGTTTGGCTCAGCAGTTGGAGTGTTGGCCTGTGGTCCGGAGAGACCCGGGTTCGGTTCCCGCTAAGGGCACGTACCTCGGTTGCAGTTTGTCCCCGGCCCTGGTTGGGTTGTGCGGGTGGCAGCCACTCGATGTGTCCCTTTCACGTCGATGTTTCTCTCTCTCTCTCCCTCTCTTTCCCTCCCACTCTATCTGAACAAAAAATGGAAAAATGTCCTCCAGTGAGGATAAAAAAACAAAACAAAACAAAACAAAAAAACCCAAAATACTTGATTTCCCAAATAGATCATGTATGCTTGTTATTATCAGCTGCATGCCTTTGCACAAACTATTGCTTTTGCCTGATATAATTCATTTTCAAAGGTAGCCCAAATAAATTCTACCCTAAGCTGAAGGTCTGATTTAGTAGTACCCATAGTACTCTATGAAAACCTTTATTATAATAATTATTCAAGTACATTTTAATTACTAATTACCACATCACTTTCCCTTAGACTGTGAACTCCTTGAGAGTAAGGGCTATTTGATAAAGATGTATGATGACAAAATATTAAAGGAGTAACATTTGTAGAATATTTTTTTTACTTGCCATTACATTACTAGCCATTACTATTTTAGTGTTCAATAGCTATGGGCATGCACTATATGTGGATAGAAAATTAAATTTCAAAAAAGTTCAATAAGCTACGACTCCATGTGACAAAACAATTACATAGCTGAGAAAGGATGTGAACCCAGGTCTTTCTGAAGCCAAGCCACTTCAAAGGTTCTCCGTAAGTTATCTGCTAAATAAATGATGTAATAAAATGAGAACTATCATTCATAAAACATATCATGATGGAGGTTACAAATATTAGCCAATTCTATAAAGCATTTTTGTGAATTATTCACAGCAAATTTAAATTTTACTAGTTAATGCACTTCAGGACCAAACATTCCAATCTCATCTAGGTAGTATACAATAACAGAATTCTAAAGACTACTCTTTATTCAAAAGATACTTAGGTATCCAAATGAAAAAAACAATATATGCCACATTAATGCCTTAGCTAATATAATAGAAATTTTGTTTCTGAAGTATAGATAATTAAGATTGGACTATAATAATAAAAATAGCGAATAATCTCATTAACTGATAATCACAGCTAAAGCTGACTTATCTGTTACAGTACCATCATGCAGAAATTTATTCTTGACAAATATTTATTAAAATCTATTTTGTGCCAGGCATTGTTCTAAGTGCCCAAAATATATCCGTGTAAATAAAGATTCCTACCCCTTATGAAGCTAATGGTCTAGGTCCTAGGGGGAGACAGGAAATTAATAATAAACATTAAAAAATATATATATAGTAGCTACAAGTCAGTGATAAGTTGTATGTAAGAGAATAGGCAGAGCAAAGGAGATTGGGCATGCTAGGAGAGGGTAGCTGATAGAATGCACTATTTAATAGGGTCAGTTACAAATAACCAGAGGTGAGAGTTAGCCAGGCTGCTATCTCAGGAAACAACTAGAGCAAAGGTCTCATGCTGGAGCTTGACTGGAGTGTTCAAAGAAAAGGAAGGAGACCAGTATAGCTAGAATTTTGTGAGTAAGAGGAGATAATTATGAAAGGAACTTAGAGTTACTGGGAACAGACAATTAGGGCCTTGCAGGCCACTGTAAGGACTGGCTTTTTTTTGCTTCCTTTCTTTCTTTAGGTCTCTGTTGAAATTCCACCTTATCAGGTATTCCCTATGCCAAGCAGAGGGAATACCTAGACTACTCAATACAATATAGCAATTTACCCCCTACTTCTTTCTCCATAGCTCTTAACACTATTTGACATACTTGTCTAGTTGTTATGCAAACTCACCAAGTAGGACAGGGACTTGGCTTAGCTCATTGCTATATCCTAATGCTTATAAAAGTACTAGGCACATAGACACTCCTAAAAAGAAATCTGTTGAATGGAGGAACATAACAATTAAGCATTTTTGTTTTATTCTTCAGTCTCATATTCTTGTCATTATGTGTTTCCACAAGAGAGGTGGATCTATTTTCACTTGGTGTATGGACCAAGTCAGGATTCTAAGTCTATTGGATGAAAAGGTAACTCTGAACTACAATAAATTCACAAGGGTATTATAATCTTTTGAATCTCTTGACAGATAGCCTACTGAGCTTGGCAGATTCACGGTCTTTTTCACTGCAATTAGAAGTAAATCACATACTTTAAAAAAATATATATATTTTTTCCTTTATTGATTTTTTTTTTTTAGAGAGAGAGGAAGTGAAAGGGAGAGGGAGATAGAAACATTGATTGGCTGCCTCCTGTATGTCCCCCACTGGGGATCAAGCCCACAACCTGGGTGTGTGTCCTGACCGGGAATAGAACTGGCAACCTCTTGGTGTATGGGTCGACACTGAACCACTGAGCCACACCAGCCAGACTAAATCATATACTTTTAACTGAACTTTTATAACCTCTATATTTAATTTTCCAGTGTGCATCCAGTATATTGAGTTTCAATTCCTTGACTCTTTGCATAGTGTGATACTTACGTTAATTTCAATCTTTTTGCATGACCAGGCATTATAGGAACATAAAGCATTTTGACGCCCTGTACCACCATTGTTGGCTCAATTCCATATTTCTCCTGAAAGTGAATATCCAAAAAAGAAACAGTAATCAAAGCTCCAACATAAAGTTTTGGGTGACAATGTTTTATAACCAATAAAAAGAGAATAAATAAATTTGGGTTAAGTAAAATTTATAAAAACCTCCCATGAAATTATGTATAAAAATTAAGACTCAGAGAGACTAATATATAAAAAGTAAACTCAAAGCAACTGATGTATAAAAAAATAACAGACTCAAAGCAACTAAGTATCTCACTTTGACTGCATTTATGAAATCCAAGAGGGTGAAATCTTCTTTTCCATGTATAGTCCATCTGTCCCAAATTGTAAATGATATTCCATTTCTGTTGTAGAAAAATATTCAAAACAAAAAAATTTTAGTTTTCTTCCCTTTAGTAATAACAAAAAAGCCCCAGAAGTCCCTTATTTGTAATTTAGCTAGATATTAATGTAGGAGAAAAAAGGGAAAATACAACTTCTGAAATATTCACTAACATTACTTCCCCAACGTACCATACAGGTAACCACTTTTATCAGTTCCTGTTGATCCTTCTAGTGTCTCATAATAAACAGTATGTCTTAGTGAGAGAGTTCTCTCCCTCTCTCTCTTTTTAAACACCTGCATGAGTTCCACTGTGTGGATGTTCTAGTGTCCTACTACTGAACACTTTGCTCCAACTTTGGCTATGTTGGATAAACAATGCCAAAATGAGTATCTTGTACATACATTTGAAATAAATGTAAATATATCTGCAAATTTGAAGTATAGTGTTACATTTCCTTCATTATGGGTTTCACTATGTTATACTCTCATCAGTAATATATGGGAGTGCTTTCTCACACTCTTGCCAAGATAGGTGTTTTCAAATTTTTGGTTGTTGCCAATCTGAAAAGCAAAAAATGAAGGTCCAGGGCAAGTGCTTTGCTTTATCATATAGCTTTTGGAACTAGATTCTAAATCGCATGATCCATTAGTCAGACACTAAAATATCTTCTAATTCATCTGACTTAGATATATGAAACCATAAGACAGTACAATGCTTTTAAACAGTGTGACAGATTAAGTGTTGTGAGAGATCTATGGCTAGTTTAGTCACAAATACTTCATGAAGATAAAGTTTTCACCTGGTCTTAATGGCAAAAATTTATGCATTTAGAAAAAAAGAAAATGTAAAGCTAATATTTTTCCTTACTGAAAGGTAAAAATTTTATTTCATTCTCATTATGTAAGAGAAATAGACCTTTGTTCATACCTGATTTCAGTTTTTCTTACTTCAGATGTTTCTGTAAACACTATAATTGGAATGGCTAAGTTAAGGAAACAATTTTTGTAAGCTTCAAAGGGATAGCCACCAGCTACTTTGATCATCTCCAATGCAACCTAGATTTAAAAAAAAAAGGTGAACTGATTATATAAAAAGCCTAAGATTACTCATGACTTTAGTTACCTCTATTTAATTTTCCTAAATTCTTCTCAAGAATTTCTCTGTAAGGAGTAAAATCAACTATTGGACTGGAGTAATATAAATTTCTTACAAGTCTCTCCAGTTTTAGCACATTTTATACTTTCAAACTCTCTACCTGTTGTATATGTGGTGAACAAAGTTATTAAAAAAATATTAACTTGATCAGGTAATCTTCCTACTTTGAAAGCAGACAGCTAATCAAAAAGCAATAGTCCAAAAACATTAAATATAGGGGGAGACAGTTACATAGCTTCTAAGAATAACACTCTAGTATAGTGTAATAACTAGGTTTATCCTAAAGATTCTGAATCATTATGGACAGATTAACTTGTAAGAAACCTGAATCACAAACAGGAATTACATATTTTTTAAGGCAAAGAACTAAAATCCAAAAGCAGTTCATTTAATTCAAGAAAAAAAGCATCTGCTTTGTATGGAGGACACAAACATTATTAAGAGGATTAGAGCCTGTAAGAAAAATTAGACTATCCTGACAGAGCTTATTTTCTATTTTAAAATGTTTTTATACCTGTAAAACCTCATAATGCAGATTATTTAAAAACATACCTTGAAATTTTAAATTATAAGGTCAATATGTATCCCCCTCCCCTAAGATCTCTGGTGAATGGTTGGAGGTAGTATAATGGGAAAAACAAGAAAGAGGCAATGAAAAAGCAGTATTTTCATTGAAAAAATAATAAACTCACCAAACCAGAAACTGCAGCAGTGGATGTTGCTATAGCAGGTATAATTTTACCGGCTATGCGCTTTGTTTTGAAACGGTCAGCTGGTTCAATGCTATACATTTTGGCACGAAGATTTGATGCAGCTGTGATGAAATCTATGTGTCCATTACCATCATCATCTTTTTCAAATGAAAGGACTGTCATCTGAAGGTCTTCTGATCATAACAACCAGAAAAATAAAGTTTCTTAGTGAGTGGTAAAGGTTTTAGTAGGTAAAAAGCATCTGGGTTCACTACTCTCATAGATTCCTTTGTGTTGATATTTTTGAATGACTGAAATGTATAAGAAAATGCATGAAATGCAGATACTGAATGACATAAAAATAATGGCTTTTATATAAGCAAAGTTTCTATATTATAAAAAACTTTCAAAAAGATAGAAAAAATAAGAAAGTCATGAACCACACCTGCTTGTAAGTGGTTTACAGTATAACATTGGGTATTATTCGCACGTTAATTTGGAAAAAAAAAACTACTCTGAAACATTTGACCTCTACTAACTATGAATAGGGTAAGTTGGTCAAATAAAAATATGTAACTTTTAAAAAGATTTCTAAATCACTGGTTCCCAAAATCATTTTGGAGATAAATGTAGTTTGATCTGTGATGAAATGAGAAAGTATGTTTTTCTCCAGAACTATAATGAATAAACTAAGATAACTACTTTTTATTTGTAAAATAAGCAGTTGGCTAAATTCAGGTTGTTTTGCCTGCATTTTACTGGTCTGTGCATAAAATCAAAAAGTTTGAGAACTGCTGATTTTTGTAATAGAAAGATGGTGATCGGTCTAAAAACATGAACTAGTGGCTCTGTTTTTAAGGAAGTAAATGTTCAGTTTCCCTATATTTCCCTATATTTAAGACCAAAGGTGTATATCGATCAGTTTGAATTCCCTGTGTGTAATTATGAAGACTAAGAAGCCAAGGGAAAAAAATATGTTTTCTTATCCTAAAGTGACTTAACTGGATTTGTCTAAAGGTTAGCCCCAAAAGGACTTAATTCTTTGCTCATTAAGTTAAAAAGGAATCATGATAGAATCTGAAGGACTAAAACAATCAGAACAATAACAAAGCAAATTTACATCTGAGCTTTTGAGAGTAGGGCAATGGTGGAGAAAATTATTAATTCAGTCACAGTTTAAGATGAACAGTGAAATCAACTATTATTATCGCTATTGTTTAATCCCATAGTTTTTGGGTACAGAACTTAGAAAAAACAAAAATCCCTCCAAATTCAAAACATTTTAATAAAGATTTGCTCTTACTTGTGGTAGCTTCACTGGATGAAATAGCCTTTTCTAGTTGAAATATAGCATTCCTCTCATCTTCACTGCTAATGGGAACATTGTCTGGTTTCCGTGCTGTTTCATCTGTTTGAACAGCCTTTAAATATATGTATGTATGTTCATTAATGTTATCACATACTGTTTCTAAGTTTGGTCAACACACCTGTTCTATCAAATAAGTCACAAGAGAAAATACTCCACCTATCTAGTTTAATCAGATTTTTTTTTTTATCCTCACCCGAGGACATTTTTCCATTTTTTGTACAGATAGAGTGGGAGGGAGAGAGAGGAAGAGAGAGAGAGAGAGAAACATCAATGTGAAAGGGACACATCGAGTGGCTGCCACCCGCACAACCAACCAGGACCGGGGACTAACTGCAACCGAGGTACGCGCCCTTAGCGGGAACCGAACCCGGGTCTCTCTGGACCGCAGGCCGACGCTCTAACCGCTGAGCCAAACCGGCCAGGGCTAATCAGATTTTTAATCATTATGGTGCAATTTATTTTATACCTTCCACTAGGAGGCAATATTATGTTATTTATATATGTTTTCTTTATTATCTGTCTCCTAACATTGACATCTAAACTCTATGAGAACCCTTTATTTCAGGAATCTTTTACCTTGTTCACTGAGAGAATCTCAGTACATATATCTAAAACAAATTTGTTCATAGTGGGTGTTAAAAATATTTACTAAATAGCTTGTGAGATCTGAATTTATATGGTTCTCTTTTTTTAAAAGAAGTATATTTTCCCTGTGGTCAAGAGAGACCTGGGTTTGGTGCCCACTAAGGGCATATACCTCGGTTGCAGTTTGTCCCTGGCCCTGGATGGGTCGTGTGGGTGGCAACCACTTGATGTGTCCCTTTCACATCGATGTTTCTCTCTCTTTCTCTTCCTCTCTCTCCCTCCCATTCTATCTGAACAAAAAATAGAAAAATGTCCTCGGGTGAGAATAAAAAAAATAAATAGAAAAAGTAAAAAAAATTTAAAAGTATATTTTCATTGATTTTTTATACAGGGAGGTAAGGGAGAGAAAGAGGAAGGGAGAGAATGAGATAGAAACACTGATGTGAGAGAGATACATCCATCTGCTGCCTCCTGCACGCCCCCTACTGGGGATTGAGCCTGAAACCCAGGCATGTGCCCTGATGGGAAATTGAACTGGGACCTCAGTCCACAGGGCAATGCTCAATCCACCAAGCCACACTGACTGGGCTATATGGTTCTCCTTTAAAATTCCATGCTAAAATAAAGTTAATAATAATAGAGAGTTTGTGATTCTCACAAATCTACTTCAAAACAAAGTATGGTTCTAACTAGTGCAGAGCTCTTTTCTGTCTTTAAAGAAACTAAGGAAATGTATAAAATATATAATATAGGCATCTTTTAAATATTTGTTAATTGCTGAAAAGCAATTCTTTTCCAAAGAATATGTCTTTCTTCATACAGATGCAGGGCAACATATACAAGTAATTTATCCTTAAGAAATTACTTACTGTACATTCCATGAAGGCAGTAAAGTTAATATTATCAAACTAAAAAACTAGCTACATCATTACTAATTAAAATAGTATTACTTATTTTATTTTATTTTTTTGTGGTATGTGCCCTTAGCAGGAACCGAACCCAGGACTCTCCGGTCTGTGGGCCGATGCTCAACCGCTGAGCTAAACTGGCCAGGGCAAAAATACTATTACTTATCTTAAATATTTTTTCCTTTATTGATTTTAGAGAGAGAGTGAGGGAGAGGGAGAGAGAGAAACATCGATGGGAGAGACCATCAACTAGATGCCTCTTGCATGCCTCCCACTGGGCCCACAACCTGGGCGTGTGCCTGGACCAGGAATCGAACTGGTGACCTCTTGGTGCATGAGTCAATGCTCAACCACTGATCCACACTAGCCGGGCCTATTTCTTATTTTAAAAACACATCTAACTTATGTTTTTATAAATTTAAGAAATATTGAAAAGTCAAGGAAGAAGAAACATGTTTACTATAATGCCTAGTTAATTTATTTGGTTGTGTTAATACTTTGGTTTAAGCAGAAGTGTTAGACCCTGAAAATTTGGTGTGAACTACTTTCAGTTCTGGGGGAAAAAAAGCTTATATAATGCAGTTAAAACCAGCTAGATGGCTAAGGATAATTTATTGCCCCAAAATGTTGACAGAAAAAAGAGTAATTCAGTCCAGAAAACATACTGAAGCACAATAAATACTAGTAAAGTTGTTGATGCATGTTTCCTTGGCTTCTGTCTAGCAGTTCTGTCCATGAAAACATGAGCTAGAAACCTTCTTCATATAGAATTGCCGTTTATCCTTTCTACACTCTTATTTTTAATAAGATACAAGTCATGAACATTTTATTCAGCAAACCCATCTACTTGTAGAAAATCTACTATCTACAAGTTTTCCTTTCCCCCAAAGATAAAAATGCAAAGACTGCACACACTACTTCTTGTTTGAATTTTGTAGCGAGACAGGCATTACTACACATTTTTCAGTATAACTAAAGGGTAAGGGAAACAGAAGGTTGTTTTCTGGATGATTTTCTGAGTGCATATGAAAAGGTACATAATGAATGTGTACGGGAAAAAACCCCAAACTTTCCTATTTACCCTGCCTAAATTTCATGTTCCATTTTTATTATTATTTCCCATCTCTTTCTCATTCCAATATATTTGCCTGGCGAAATCCCAACCCTTATTATATCCTATTCCCATCTGTTGTACAGTAGCACCCAAGCAGAGAATTGCCTTTTCTCCAGCTACATTTGTGGGATACATTGAGTCGATGAACGTTAAGTGGATCCTTAGTGCTGTCTCATAATTCTACATCTTCTTTTTTTTTTTTGATTTTTTTTTTTTATCCTCACCCGAGGACATTTTTCCATTTTTTGTTTAGATAGAGCGGGAGGGAGGGAGAGAGAGAGAAACATCGACGTGAAGGGACACATCGAGTGGCTGCTACCCGCACGACCAACCAGGGCCGGGGACAAACTGCAACCGAGGTACGCGCCCTTAGCGGGAACCAAACCCGGGTCTCTCTGGACCGCAGGCCGACGCTTTAACTGCTGAGCCAAACCGGCCAGGGCTCTACATCTTCTACTTAAGTGACTTTCCCACTCCCCTGGGCAATCATTTCACATCTTAATTTTCTGCTCAAGCTTCCTTTATCTTCTCCCCCTTACTCAGAACTATTAAGCTTACTTATTTCAAATAAGAAAGTAACAATCTTTTATCTTTTAGCCTTACTCCAATTCTAATCCCCTACAAATCCTGTCAGGGCTACTGAGAAATATACACAGACTCTAGCCCCTTATCACAACTTCCCTGTTACCTATTACTTCATTCAAATCACCATCATCTTTTGCCTATAACCTAATACTTTTTCTTGCTTCCCTTATTTTGTCTCATATCATTATTCTTATCACAACAGTTATAGTCATCCTTTAAATATAAGTCAGATTGTGTTCTCTGTTTAAAACTCTCCACTGGTTTATTACATAATAAAACACAAAGCAGTACTAGAACTCCTCCTCTCTAATCTCACTGTCTACCATTCTCATCTTACATATTTTCCTCCAGAAAAACCCTGGCCTCCAAAGTCTTTTGAGGTCATTCTCTGCATTTGTTCCTGCTGCCTGTATTGCTCTTTCACCAGGTAATAGCATGGCTCACTCTCTTACTTCCTTCAGCTTAAATTTACCTTTATCAGAGAGCCTTACCCCTTTTATCGCATATGAAATGTCACCAGCTCCATCATGCTTTGTTTCTTTTCCTTGTTTCATTTTTTCTTCTTAGCACTTATGCCCAATTTACAAGATTATATAATTAATGGCTTCAAAAAAAAATTAGACCGCCTCTGGCCTATTAGAATATAACTTCCACAAGAGCAAGGATTTTCCAGGTTTAGAATGGGATTTGACACTCATAAAAGTTCAATAATTATTTGTTAAATAACAGAATGTCCAAACATACCTTTCTGGAAGGTTTGAATTCCTGAATCTTTACTTCGGCAAGAATATTCAAGAGGGCATCTGCTGATATGTCCTGTTTTTCAAAAAAGTAATTTTATCAACACACTTATTCTTTTAGTTCTGAATTCTAAAGCTAAAATCATCCTATAAAAAAGTCCTTACATTTGAATAACTTACAATTTGACTATTTAGACTCCATCCATTTATGGCATTTATCTTTATTTCTATAGAAGTATCAACCATAAGTACTGGTGTAAAAGTGGTATGTGTAAAAAACTACTTATTTGTCAAGAAATGTGAAATCTTAGTTTTTTCCACAAATTTTTATAAAGGTAGTTTTATGACTGGTTGTACCAGACTGAGTGCTTTAAAATCAGAGACTATCTCTTCATTGTTTTACAAAGCTCCCTGCATAAAGTTATACTCAATAAATAAAATAAGTGAAATTCATACCTTTCGAAACAGGAAAATATTTAAATGGTTCAAGATGAACTGAGATAAATTTAAGGTTATCAGATCCATTTTTACTATTAAGAAGCTGTTTAGGAAAAACTGAGACAAACTGCTTTTGAGGTCATCTATGGCACATCAAAAAATTACCCCTCTCTTTACAAAAAGAATACTAGACTATATGCCACTATTTTTACCAGACATTTACGGTATACTTTACTGTACATTAACTCTAAAAAGGATTAATCTACAATGGGCATTTTCATCTGGATCTAAAATAGCTAGATCCATTAGGATCTGGATCTAAAATAGTATTATGAATCTGGTTCATATTTCCCCATTCAGCCTACATAAAAGTATAGCAATTTATTTAGCTCAAATATGCATTTGTGGATAAAAATTTACTAATGCAAACCTGTCTCTCAAATAAAACTGTGTTAGATCTTTTAGAGTTTGTCAAGAAAGATAATGTCTAAGAGAATAAATATGATGATAAGGGTTAAGAAATGTCAATATGAGGTAGCATTTTCAAATTTAGTGAAAAGCATGTAAGAAAGTATCATAAAATAAGTCAAACAAATGTTAACAAAGAGAATCTCTATGAAATATATATATATATATTATTTTTTTATCCTCACCCGAGGACATTTTTCCATTTTTTGTACAGATAGAGTGGGAGGGAGAGAGAGGAAGGGAGAGAGAGAGAGAAACATCGACGTGAAGGGACACATCGAGTGGCTGCCACCCGCACGACCAACCAGGGCCGGGGACAAACTGCAACCAAATTACGTGCCCTTAGCGGGAACCGAACCCGGGTCTCTCTGAACCGCAGGCCGACGCTCTAACCTCTGAGCCAAACTGGCCAGGGCTCTCTATGAAATATTTTAAATTTGCTATAAAATAGTTCTCTTTAGGTTTTCAGAGTAAATCTAATTAAAGTTAATAGGTTATGTTTTAAAAATAAAGTTAAGACTGGTTTTATAAATAAATATTTGTTTCACTGCTTAAACTTAGAAAAATTGACTTTCTTCTACTTAGTAATGCTGCAATGAGATTTTAGCTTTTGCTATGTCAGTATGGACAACAAAATAAGACATTTATATTAAAGAACAATTTTCATAATATATAAACACATTTTGATGATGCAATTAGCTGATAAGCCATCTAATTCTAGCCTGGTTTTGTATCATTTGATAATGCTTAAAAAATACTTACCTCTTTTGTAAATGGAATGCAGTAGATTGTAGCATATAATTTTGCAGCATTCAGAAGGAAACTGAAGTGCCTTTGAAATTAAAAAAGTAAAACAAAGTGTGAATGGTATAGTTTCAAATAAGATGTCTAATTAATCAGAAACTACAGCCTTTAAAGTGCTGATGAGAAATAACCACAGGCCCTGGCTGGTTTGGTTCAGCGGTTATAGCATCGGCCTGTGGACCAGAGTACCGGGTTTGCTTCCCACTAAGGGCACGTACCTTGGTTGCAGTTTGTCCCCGGTCCTGGTTGGGTCGTGTGGGTGGCAGCCACTCAATGTGTACCTTTCATGTCGATGTTTCTCTCTCTCTCTCTCTCTTCCTCTCTCCCCCTCCCACTTTATCTGAACAAAAAATGGGAAAATGTCCTCGGGTGAGGATTAAAAAAAAAAAATAACCACAGAATTTTTGTTATAGGATTATTTTTTAATAATTAGGCAGTGACATTCTGGTCTAGGCCTAAGCATTGCAGAAGTAGAGAGAGAAAACATCAGATGTTTATCCTCATAAGCACTGATATTTAGGTAGTGATCATGATTACTTTGGAGATATGAATGACCAGAAAAAAAATTTAACTAGTGAAAGAAAATTCACTTTAATTCTTAAAAAAATTATACATTTGGTTTTAAAAACTGTATATTGGGTTCAAACTAAGCAAATGAGTTTAAAAACAAAGAAAGGTAAGTTTGATAGAAGATGCAGTCAGCATTAGGTGAGTGGACGCCTAAAATAAGCACCAGTTGAAAAACTAAGCATAAAAGGCTTACAAGCTAAGCGTTTAACTTATACACACATACACATATGTATAAATAAAGTATCTCATATGAATAGGTATATAGAAATTTATTCAAAGACCAACTCCTCTGAAAATTAACTTTAGCCCAGCCGCTGTGGCTCAGTGGATTAAGTGTCATCCCATGGACTGAGAGGTCCCAGTTTGATTCCCGGTCAGGGCACATGCCTGGGATGGGGGCTTGATTCTCAGTAGGGGGTGTGCAGGAGGCAAACGATCTATGTTTTTCTCTCACATCGATGTGTCTCTCTCTCTCTCTCCCTTCCTCTCTTTCTAAAAAATCAATAAAAACATATTTAAAAAATTAATTAGAGATTATTTAGGGAGATATTTAGCACTAATCATTTTTACCTTCAAATAACTTAAGTTTCTTATATACTAGGTACATTAAACAGAAAACACCTGCTGTCACTTTACTTTTTATAAAGTTAAAGAGGTGACATTTTGGTTTCACTTTAGAAAAGATAAAAATAATGAGGTTATTTACCACAGAGAGTAAATAAACAGATTGTGTGGAAAGAAGAGTTGTGATTGGCTTGGCTGGCCAGACTATTTAACATTAAAAAGTGTGGCCCTGGCCAGTTTGGCTCAGTGGTTGAGCATCGGCCTGTGGACCAGAGAGTCCCGGGTTCTGTTCCTGCTAGGGGCACGTACCACAAAAACAAACAAACAAACAAACAAACAAACAAACAAAAACATTAAAAAGTGTGAAATTTCCACTTTTATACAGTTAAAGATTTACAAAAAAATCGCATATATATCAGGACATAAATACTTACAAAGGTTCATTGAAATCAAATTTTATTGGACGAGGAGGCCTCTTTGGTGATTGCCAAAACAAATCTAATAAAAGATACAAATATTATTTTAAATGGAGGCAGCCAGTAATAAGTTACATTAAACTTTCTTTTAACATAGTTGTACTTACTGCCGTCTCTTAATCGAGTATCCAGAGGAAAACAATGAAGAAGCTGAAGAGCCTAAAGAAAAAAACAAAGTTAAAAAAAAATTAAAACACAAAAAGTTATACAGTGAAGTCTTCTGGCTACTGTTGTACTCCATCTTTCCATTCTGGATTCTGTCACTAACCCTCTATACCCGCCACCCCCGCCAGCACAATACCTGGAACAACTTCTATTATTACTTTTAAATTAACACTTACAGTTTGTCATTATAAAAAATAATGTAAATGAAGTCACTTCAAAATGGAGTCTGAGTGGCCATCCCAAAGGAACTGCCTTACAAGTCTTAACCTTCAAACCTTTGCAATGGTAAAACTGGGTGAAATTACCAATGGACTGGGTCTAAGGCAGCACTGTATTCCAAACAACTATTTGCAAAGCTAACAGAAAAGCATTATGACAACTAGACTGAAAATTAAAGTCAGTGTTTAAAATTAGCAATTTTATGCTGGTATCTGTATCTATAGAAATTCCTTCTTTAGAGTATTAAGACCCATAAAAAAAAATCCTCCCTTCTATTCATGTAATTTCCCCCCTTCTCCTTCTCATGAATACCCCCTTGCTTTTACCTTCTTATTGGAACACTATTCTAGTTTCCGCCTGAATCAGTGCTTCCAAAATAGCTCTTCTTTTGGGTATCTAAATGCTTATTGCCTCTCAATTTGGCCTTTAATTTTTAGGTTAACAGCATTATCCTGCTACTTTCAAAGAGCTAATCATTAAAATGAAAATTAAACCAGTAAAATATATATTATATTGTTAGAATGATGCATTTGAGATTTTTTTTTTTGCCTCAAAACCATCTGGGGAAGGGTATAATGGGTGGAGTTATAGATGAAAACAAGATTATCTATGAGTTGATCATTGTTAAACTTTAACGACAGACATGAGGATTATATGGGAGTTCATTGCATTATTTTTCTACATTTCTATTGCTATCAATTTTTCCATAATAAAAATGTATAAAAAGACTTACAAAAGATAAGGGCTAACAGTTCTTGAGATTTTCATGGTAAGAATAATATGAATAACAATGGGAACAGAAGACACATTTTACTGGATGAGGACTTGGCAAAGATGAGTATACCACTTTTTCCAAGAAGCAGAGCCAAGAGGAAAGTGAAAGTCAGGGATAAGTGTAACAAAGAAACTTTTTAAAAAAGGTGAACTTAATGTATATTCCAATAGGTAAAAGCCTAAAGAGAGGAGACTAAACAGAGAGTGCAGGACACATTCTAGCAACTGAAGTTACTAGAGGTAAGAATAACAACAAATATTTAGTATTTATGGGCCAGGTTCTGTTCTAAATGCTTTACATGAATTAACTGATGTGAGCCTCATCACTAACTTATGAATTAGGTACCGATTTATTATCTCCATTTTACAAGTGAAGAAATACACACAAAATATGATTATCAGATAGGAAGGGGGAGGAAAAAGTGCAAAATTTGACAGAATCTCTCTATTTTTTCAGTCTCTTGCTTTACTCTGAAAAACAAACTGCTTTCAGATAACTGATTAAATGTACTCCTTAAACTCCAGAAGAAATATCTTTGTAAAACCCATTTTGCACATAGAAAGAGAAGGATCAGTCAAATATATAACTCCCAAGTCAATGAGTGAAGTTTAAACACACTGTTTAATCAGTAACACTCAGAGAGAAATTAGTTGTTTGCCCAGAACTTGCTCTCACTTAATTTACTACTTATTTCTGAAAAGCTTTCCAAAAGAAAGAGTAGACATTTCAGGTCAATGAAATTAATTTGGTAGTAATTAAATAAGCCAAGGTCAGATCTCTTCTTAATGTTTTATAATGCATACTTACCTTATGGTTAAAATATTTTTCAAACTTTAATCTTGCTAATTCTACACACTGGGGCCAATTTCTAGGTCTTCTGCTTAGTAACTTAATAACTTGAAAAGAGCCTTCTAAACTGTGTCCAGTTTGTAGCTTCTAGAATGAGAGAAAACAAAACAAGTGCATTTGTAATTAATCTCCCTCCATCCCCCACCCCAGGAAGTATTAGCCAAAGTTTGAAGTGTCATCTTATGCTCTTTATTTCTTTCTGCCTTCTCTCCCCGCTTCTTTTCTGTTTCGGAGGGGAAACAGGAAAAAATAGCACATAAAATTTTAACTCTAAAGTTTCCTGTTCCAAAATTATTCTCATGTCTTGCTAGCTATTAGTACTATATATGTACCTACTAAAAGAAGTACAAAGAATAATGTTTTATACTAAAAAGCTGGCATTTTTAGTATAGGATTAAAGAAAAGTAAGAAAATGTGTCCTCACCATGAGAACAATAAGTCTGAGATATTACTTGTACTTACTACAAACAATAATCATCCCTTTAGCCCCCCCTGCCCCCTTTTAATCCTCACTCAAGGACATTTTTCCATTTTTTTGTTCAGATAGAGTGGGAGGGGAAGAGAGAGAGAGAGAGAGAGAGAGAGAGAGAGAGAGAGAAACAATGATGTGAAAGGGACACATCGAGTGGCCGCCACCCGCACAACCCAACCAGGGCCGGGGACAAACGGCAACCAAGGTACTGCCCTTACCAGGAACTGAACCCGGGTCTCTCTGGACCGCAGGCCGATGCTCTAGTCGCTGAGCCAAACCAGCCAGGGCCCTTTAGTGCCCTTTTTAAGAGGGTAAAACAAACCATTTGCAGGGAACTTGAAAATAAGATTACATAAAGTGTTGTTTGTATTTTTACCTGTAAGACTTCTTCTGCAGATGAATAGGTTTGCCAAAATTTGTTAAATAATGAAGGCTTGTGGGAAAAGGAACTTTCAAACTATTATGGAAAAGAGGGGAAAACGTTACAAAGAGAAGTCTAACTGAAAGTTGGAAATATCTTATTTTCTACTATGAAAAAAAAAAATCCTTAAAAAAAAGATCTTTATTACCTTATCTCTTGCCCACTGTATAGTATGTTCAATAGTAGATGGAAAAGATTTTAGAGTACAAAATGGTATTTCCTCTTCTGGGGGATCCCGCTAATTTATAAAATGTGATAACAGACAGTTAAGACAAGCAACGACAATTTTTTATTGTCTGAATTTACTTGAATGTTTTAAGACCATTAAGAAAATAAAATTCAAAATAAAATAAATCCAACATTTTTATATCTTCTCTATTCTAGGCACTAAGAGAACAAATAGATTCTTTTGACATTTATCTACTTGTTAATAGCAATGTAACAATAAACATGAATTTTACTATCACTTCTATCTGTACACTCATTTGGCACCATGTAGTACTCATGGCAGATCACCACACATGACTAATTTTTCTCCTCCAAGAATCAAGGTTACATTTAAAACTATACCACTTCCTATTATGAAAAGTAATTCAAGAATTCCCAATATAGTTCAGCATACCATGAGTTTCTCCATGGAGAAAAAAACTGAGGAGCATGAATACATCCTTGGTGCTCAGTACAGTTTCTAGTAGAAAGTGTGTAAAATAAATGGCAAATGCTTATGTTGTCTCATGTAAAAAGAAACCATTGAAAAAATCCATATCCTAGGGTACATTTGGCCTACACTTACTGGTTTATCCAATGTAAAATGACTCACTTCGTGTCTTTTCACTTGGAGATTTATATTTTAGTTTCTTGATTTCTGAAATACCATGAAATATAAGCCAAAGAAGTAAGCCGGGGAGTATTAAAATTTTGAGTATGAAGTCAGAGAATACAGAACAAGTTAGGAAAAGATTTAGAACAAGTGAATCAAGGGAACTTTTGGAATTTTATAGTATTCTCTACTTTAAAAAATTTCCAGTACGACACCCAACATATCATGATTTCCTCCATCTAATTTCCTTCGAATTAAACTAACCAATTTGTCTACTATAATGTTTTTATTATATAAACTTCTGATTTCATGAGAGTAAATGGGGAAGCAAATTTTATAAAAATGTTGAAATATTACTAAACCAAAAATTTTCATCGAATATAGGGAAATTTACATTTGTAAAAAAATATTTTTTTTTCAATTTTACGATTTTGGTTGATCTTTAAATTCTAAGGCCTCTATTATTTCTTAGGTCAGTGGTTTTCAACTTTGTCAGTATCTCAAGATTACTTGTGAGGGTTAAAAAAGTTATATCTATATGTCATTTATGAAAAAAAAATACATATAATTGCTTGGTCCCTAAGATTTTGTGAGTTACAGTTGAATGCTTGTTAGAAAACTAATAAAGCACCTCTGAGAAATAAGCAGTAAACAAAAGAACAGACTCCAGAAAGACTCAAATCAAAATTTTGGTGATTTACAAAAATCAGTTCAGCTATGTTTTTAAAACTGCACATATACATATGTATGAACATCACTGGCAGATCAAAACAAGATTAGAGAAGCTAAATAAAATTTATGGACTGATGAAGACAAAAAAAATTATAAGATATAAAGAAGATATATTTACTTTAAAACCTGGTTCACTTACATGACTATTATAGGATTCAGTCAAATGAGGTACAATAACTTCAGTGTGTCCCTTAGTGCCCATTGTTCCAGAATCCAGGAGGGGCCGTAGATTTGCAACACACCGGCTATTTGGAAAGACAATAGGAAACAAATATAAAAGTGAGCAAGAACAATGTAAGCAGAGGAAATCCTACCACTTTCTACTGACCACGGCACACACTGATCACTTATTGACTATATTTTATGAAACATACATTACCACCAAACAACCTATTTATTATTTCTGTCTCCTTCCCTCAACAAATTTTGCTGTTCAATCTATAATTTTTGTCTCTACCTTCTACTACTACTAGTACTGCTACTAGTACTACTACCACCACCAAATTTTGGGTTTGTTTTTTACTAGGTTAACTCTAAACTATGTTATCTTTTCTTCTCTTGCTTCCTATTTCTTCTTTGGTTACTTTCTGGCTACAGGTTCTATCCCACTGTATCTTCTCAATACTTTCTTTTTTCCAAATAACACTATACCTTCTTAATACTTGTAACACCTATATTCTATACAATTAATTGAAGTTGTTTTTCCTTCATCTGCCCAAGAGTACAAACTTTCCATTACACTCTAAACTGGTAAAATTCCCTCTGCTAATATATCTACTCTAATACCGTAACATTAAATATTCATATGAAAATGTAAAAGTTATGTAAGATGCATACATTATAGTCATTCATTTAACACATATTTACTGAATGACATCATATGTAGAACACTGATGATATAGTAATGGGAAAATAAATGGTACCTAAAGAAATGATTTAATGAGGAAATAAATGTTAAATGAATATGTATCTCAATAAAAATAAGTGCTATGAAGGATAATGCTTAGTGCTGTATAAGATTACCTTAGGAGATTCTAATTTAGAATTTGGGGTTAAAGAAAGCCTGTTTGAAGAAATATATTTTAGGATGCAACTAAAGGATGAAGAAAAAGACTTAAGATGTGTGAAGAGTAAGTAGGTAAATTTGGGATCAGGAGTTTTGCAACAAGGTAAACATAATTTCCTAAGGCTGAAGAAGAGTATGTGCAAGTCCCTGAGATTAAAAAAAAAAAAAAAAATGCCGCATGCTCTGTAAGGACAGAAAAAAGAAATGTGTAGTTGGAATATAGGGAGCTAGGAAGGAATAAGTAAATGTTAAGTTGGCCAGGTGGATAAGTGCCAGACACTATAAAAATATTTAGGTCATGTTAAAGATTTTGAATTTTATCCTAAGTATAATGGGAAATCATCACAGGGTTTGAGGAGTATCACAATAGGAACATAAAGAATAATAAAAAAAATTTAGAACTTTTCAACAAGTAGGTGTGGGAAACAGAAGTGAAAACAAACAAAAAATAAAATTATGCCCTGGCCAGTGTGGCTCAGTTGGTTGAGTATTGTCCCATGCATCAAGAGGTCACAGGTTTGATTCCCAGTCAAGGCGTATGCCTGAGTTGTGGGCATGATCCGCAGTAGGAGGTATGCAACAGGCCGCCCATCAATATCTCTCACTCACCACCACCCTAAAATCAATAAAAACATTAAAAAAAAAAAAAGACAATGAACCTGAATTTCAATTACATACCTGTCTACATATCTCCTGGCTTCCACATTATCTAATGCTGTAATAATGATATCTTGTTTAGCGTAGAAATCATCACTGTAAGTAGCCTCAGTGGCTGGACACACTTTGTTCAAGTGTGCATCTATCTTTACTTGAGGATTTATTTTCAGGGTTGCATCAGCAGCAGTATAGCTTTTAGGTTTCTAAACAAATAACAAAAACAGAAGAAATAAATGTTAAACAGAAAAGATAGCCTATGACTGAACTTAAACATTGTCACGCTGGAAAATATACATGTGAGGTGACAGTAATGAGATCAATGTTCATTTTTTAGTTCGTGAAAATTATATTCATTGTAGTCATACTACATTAGAAAAAAAATTTTTCTTTATTGGTTTTAGAAAGAAAGGAAGGGAGAGGGAGGGAGAGAGAGAAACATCAATGAGAGAGAACATCAACTGGCCACTTCCTGCATGCCCCCTAGTGGGGATTTGGCTCACAACCTGGGCATGTGCCCTGACCGGGATTCAAACTGGCAACCTCTTGGTGCATGGTTTGACGCTCAACCAGGGAGCCACACTAGCCGGGAGTAGTCATACTACATTTAACAGTGCATATTAGTCTAAATAATTACACGTTCTTAATAGAAATCTAAATAACCTCTCTTTTACAGCTAAGTGCTTTAGAGTTATTAAAATATTCGTTAGGCTCTGATTGGTAGCTCAGTTGGTTAGAGTGTTATCATGATATGCCAAGGTTGCAGGTTGGATCCCTGGTAAGGACACATATAAGAATGAATCAATAAATGTATAAATAAGTGAAACAACAAATTGATATTTGTTTCTCTTTCTCTCTCAAATCAATTAAAAAAAAAAACTAGTTAAAAGCCTAACTAAAAGTACATTGTTCTTCCTAGTTATGAGGTTTGAATTAGGTAAGTGTTCAGAAAAAGATGAGAATACATTCAGTAAAATATTAAAAATCCAAATTGCATAAAATGAGTTCTCATAAGTATAAAAATCTAACACTTTGGAAATAAATGTTATTCTGAATACAAATATTAACAAAAAATTATTATATATGTTTCAGTTTTATAAAAAAGAATACCCTAAATATAATTCATTCTTTTCTTAAAGATCACTAGTGTCTTCAAAGTTCACTTGGAAGTATTGGCTCTGATACTAATTATCTACAGACCATTCTGTCTGAATACATGCATGTAGTTTTTTTGTTTTTGTTTTTAATCCTCACATATTTGCATTTATCTTCAGACAGAGAGGGAGGGAGAGAGGGAGGAAGAGAGAGAGAAACATCGATGTGAGAGAGTGGTTGTCACCTACACGACCCCAACCGGGGCCGGGGACAAACTGCAGCCGAATTATGTGCCCTTAGCAGGAATCAAACCCGGGACTCTCTGGTACATGGGCCAATACTCTAACTGCTGAGCCAAACCGGCCAGGGCTGCATGCATCTAGTTTTAATGGTATTTCTGTCTCTTCTCACACACTGTTTATCTGACATGTTTTCACTTCTTAGTGCTATTAGTATAAATACAAAGCAGAAACTTTGTTAGAACTCAGTAAAATAAGAATAAACAAGCCTCTATAGTTCTATAAGTTAACTTAGTAAAATAAGAATAAACAAGCCTCTATAGCTCTATAAGTTAAATGTACAGTTAGGTAAATTAATTTTGTGACATACATTTTATTTCATGAGAGACCGGTACTTAATTCTTTATATTTGGATAAGTGAGGCTATTAGGTTAACTATCACCTGCTTTAGTTACTTTTCTGTTTGTGACACCTTAAGTTTCATTCACTAAAATTATATAAATTGTTAAAAAAATATAGTGAAAAACATTTCTAAAGTAAAACCAAATTTGCCTGACTGCCTTTAAACTGCTTCTTTTCTGACTTAAATATTTTGATCTCTATAAAAAAAGATTGAAAACAAGTATTTTACAATAAAAAGGTATGTTAAATAGTCAAACAAGATCAAAAGAGCACAAAATTCTAAGTGCTAAACTCGAATATTTCAAATTAGAGAACCTGTTTGTACATATACACTTAGTTTATTTTTTTGGTACGTGCCCCTGGGGGAACCAAACCCGGGACTCTCTAGTCCACAGGCTGATGCCCCAACCACCAAGCCAAACCGGCTAGGGCTATACACTTAGTTTTTAAAATATATAGACATACTTTGGTGATTACAAAGTGAAAAAAAAAATACTGCTCACAATTCACAACTCAGTTTTTAATACCCAAAATCAATTTTTACATTAAAATAATTGATATTTTCCCCTATAATCATTCCCATTATTTGATGAGATTCTAATAAATAAAAACTATATTATGTCAAACATCATTTTCTATGTATTAAAAGAAAACTCTTCTGTTTTGTATAACACAACTGATGATTTAAATTTGAAATAGCAACATACCTGTAAGTGATGAGGACGAAATAAGAACTGTCTGTTCAAGTTGGATTTTTCTATCAAGTCAGGATCTGTAACTGTAACCTAATATCAAGAAAAGAAAATGCCTGAAATTATATAACAAAAAAGTCTAAATCTATTTTGCTTTTCTTGGGATGACTAAAACAATTCCCACAGTTATTCTAAATTATTTTGGCTGATAAAAGTATGAATATAAATGTTTCAAAATGATTACCATCAGTACTCTTTTTATACCTATACTTAATTATAATTAATGTTTAGCAAAGGAACATGTCAAACAAGTTAAACATCTATTTTTATGTGGTTATATTCAAAATTTTAACATGTAGATATGTGACTTATCTAAAATTAATTAAAATATCTTAGTCCTGAACAATTAGAGCATATTTAAAGTCTCCCTTCCACTTTCCATATTATCAGTGAACATTTCACTTATTTTTAACCATCCCACTTCCAAATCAGACATTGCCTCTACTTAGCCTTGCTTCATGCATTGCTCACATTATCTAGTAACTCTTTCAGTGAGAACCAACAAGTGGTAACTCATTATCATTTTACTTGTCAGATATCTTTACAGCAGGTATAGAAATCTGGGTTGATAGTAATTTGCCCTTGTACTGTGAAGATCTGCTTCCCTATCTTTAGATGTGCACTTCTTGCTGATGAGAAGTCTATTAGGTAATTTCTTTTCATCTTTGCCTTGGATTTGCTTTAACACACTTGTTTCTTTTTTTGTTGTTGCCCACATCTCTTTTTTTAAATTTGTTTACTTTTAAAAACTGAATTTATTGAGGAGACACTGGTTAATAAAACCATACAGGTTTCAAGTGTACAACTCTATAACACATCACCTGCATACAGCACCGTGAACTTACCATCCAAAAGTAAAAACTTTTGTCATTATCCTTGGAAACTGCCTCTTCTTCATTATCTTATTTTTTCTGGAAATTCTACACTCATGTTGGACTATGCAAATTTATCCTCTACCATTACAAATATATCTTCCTGCACTACATTCTGGATACTTATATTTATCTTCTATTCATAAATTCTCACTTCAGCTATATCTATCTGACTTTTGAGCTCACTCACTATACAGAACTTCTTATTCGACATTTTGTAAAAATGTCAGTGTGTTTTCCCTGTTTTTTTATCTTCGGTCATTTCTAACTCTGTTTTAAAGTTTGTTCTATTATCCACAGATTTTTCTATTCTGCAGCACTCCTATTAATTCTAGTTCTTGGAGAGCTAATTCTTCAATTTTCCTCGGCTGATTGATTATTTTTCCATGTGGTACCTTTTTTCTAGAGGATCATTTTTAATTGTAAATCATCTAGAACAGATGAAGATTTTTTGGCATAGTCCTATATACTCTGGGTGTAAAGTATCACTATGATGCAGTTTTAGATTTGTTTTAATGAGAGCTCTGGAGGTTTCAAAGGTCCTAAATTTGTTATATTTATTTCTCTGCTTAAAATTTTTATGATATAATTTTGGACCCCATATACAAGTGTGGTGCATGCTCTGCATTTTAATTTCTCATGACTGACTTCTCTATTTAATTTTTTGGACAAATATTCGACACAGAAATAGTTGGCCCTGGTCGGGTAACCAGTTGGTTAGAGCGTCATACAGATGCGCCAAGGTTGTGGATTCACTCGGTCAGGGCGTATACAAGAACCAACCAATGAATACATAAACAGGTAGAATAACAACTTGATGTTTCTCTCTCTCTCTCACCCTTCATCTCGCTCTCTAAAAATCAATCAATAAAAAAGATAAATGCTTTGGAGTCACCACGGCTTTTAGCTCGGGAATTAATTTCTCTTTTGGTTCCTGGAATCTGGGGATTTCTCCTTCCTTCATTCTCGTTAGTTAAGCTACATTTGTAAATACTTAAAAATCTGTCCCAATGAACTTACCTTGTTTTTTTTACCTGAAGTCAGATTTGTTTACTGAAACTCTTTTCCTAATCTTTATATGCTAAAATACATTGTCAATTCCCAAAAAGTTGAAGTATTCAGGTGATTCCCAAATTCATGTGACTAAGGATTATTAATTCATTTATTATTTACTTTTATTAATTAATTTATTTTTGTTCCAGATGTTTCTCCTTTTCCCCCCCAGATACCCTCCCTCCCGATCCTGCCCCCGACTCCAAGCATTGCTGTCTATGTATTTATTCCTTTTTAAAATACCTTTTAAAATGACCAGAACAAATAGCAGTTTGTAGAACACAATATTTAGAAATACTGGGTAGGAATCATATAAATGCAGAACATCTGCCCATAACTGTGATAGTAAGGAATACCCTCTTTTCAGTGAAGTAATAAGTCAAGTTTAATTAACTATAAAATTACTTACTGTTAGTCACCATGACAAATCTATGCAATCACTACTATCGGAAGCTAGTTTACATCCTAAAGTGAAATATATTTTCATTAAAATATATGACATGGCTTCCCAAAAAACAAAAACTTATGGTCTTAAGAATTTAAATTGTATACATGAGTTTTTATTACTCCTTCTTTTGATACTCACTAATTGAAATGATATCTGTGTAGTATTCAACTTCCTAAAGTTAGCTTTTCCCACTTTAAAGATTTACTTAAGCCCTGGCCGGTTTGGCTCAGCGGTTGGAGTGTCCGCCTGCGGTCTGGAGAGACCCGGGTTCGGTTCCCGCTAAGGGCATGTGACTCGGTTGCAGTTTGTCCCCAGCCCTGGTTGGTCGTGTGGGTGGCAGCCACTCGATGTGTCCCTTTCACATCGATGTTTCCCTCCCTCTCTCTTCCTCTTTCTCCCTCCCACTCTATCTGTACAAAAGATGGAAAAATGTCCTCGGGTGAGGATAAAAAAAAAAAAAAAAAAAGATTTACTTAATAATTAACAAGTAGTATCTAATAAAACAATAACAATATTAATGTGCTTGATAGTTTTCAAAGCACTTTCACATTTGATCTTAACGATAATATCATGAGGTTAGTGGTACAGATATCCGTGGCAAGTATTACAGAAAGAAATTTAGGAGCAAAAAATTAATTTGCCACAGGGTTGCCTAATTTTTGACAAGTGGTCAGAATAGAATCAGAGTCTTCCAATTTCTAGCTTGATCTGTCTTCAAAAAACAATACTTCTGATATATGCAATTTAAAAATGGACACCTTTCAAAAAATAAATAAAAGTACCCACACAACTGAACAAAAGGAGACAAACAATCCAATTTAAAAAATGGGCAGAGGACCTGAGTAGACACTCTTCCAAAGACATATAAATGGCCAAGAGACATATGAAAAAATGCTTAACATCACTAATCATCAGAGAGATACAAATTAAAATGACAATGAGGTACCATCTCACACTGCCATAACGGCTACCATCAACAAACGAACAGCCCTGGCCAGTTTGGCTTAGCAGTTAGAGCATCTGCTCATGGGTCAAAGGGTCTCAAGTTCAATTCCTGGGCAAGGGCATGTACCTGGATTGCAGGGTGGATACCGGCCCTGGTCCGGGTCATGTGGGAGGCAGGCAATTGATGTGTCTCTCTCTCTATATCTCCCTCACTCCCTCCCTCCCTTCCACTCTATCTAAAATATCCTCAGGAAGGATTAACAACAACAAAAAAACCCCAAATCAAATCAACAAACAACAAGTGCTGGCGAGGATGTAGAGAAAAGGGAACCCTAGCACACTGCTGGTGGGAATGCAGACTGGTGCAGCCACTATGGAAAACAGTGTGGAGTTTCCTCAAAAAATTAAAAGTGAAACTGCCATTTAACCCAGTGATCCCACTTCTAGGAATATATCCCAAGAAGCCTCAAATACCAATCAGAAAGAATAGTTGTACCCCTACATTCATAGCAGCGCTATTTACAATAGCTATGATCTGAAACGGCCCAAGTACCCATCAGTAGATGAGTGGATAAGAAAACTGTGATACATTTACACAATGGAATACTATGCAGCTGTAAAAAAAGAAGGCTCTCTTACTCTTTGAGACAGCATGGAGAGACCTAGAGAGTACTATGCTAAGTGAAATTAGCCAGTCAGAGAAAGACAAGTATCACATGATCTCACTTATATGTGGACTCTAATGAACAAAATAAACTGACGAATAAAATAGAACCGGAGACACTGAAGTAGGGAGCAGACTGACGAATCAAGGGTGAGGGGAAGAGATTAACTAAAGAACTTAAATGCATATTGCATAACCAATGGACACAGACAATAGTGCAGTGAAGGCCTGGGTGGGGGGTGGGAGCAGAGTAGAGGGGGTCAATGGGGAAAAGAAGGGGGTGGCATCTGTAATACTCTCAATAATAAAGATAATTTTTAAAAATGGACACCAACAGAAATATGTATAAACTTTTAACTCTCAAGAATTTTTATCTTACCATTCCCTTCTCTTTGCTTATGCCAACACCAAGTAAAGCGAAATTTTTTAACATTTCACAGCCTATGGCTCCACATCCTACCTATGAAGGAGAAAAATATATCAGAGTAAGCAAAATCAGAATTTCTACTTACTAAAGGGCAATTTCAGCATAATTTTCATCAAATGCTAACTTACAATAAATATACTTTTAAAAATAACTTGAACATTCGTGATTCATTGTAGTTTAAAGAATTTAACTGGTTTATGATGCCATTAGTAAGCGTCTCAGTTACAGGAAAAATAATAAATAAATAAACCAAGTAAGAAAAAGCACAATATTTAACTTTCCTTTAAACAGAAAACATTTTAAAATTCCAAAAAGCCAGACAGTGAGCTCATTTTCAAAAATATAAGCTGGATAAAAACGGCACAAAACACCAGTGCAATATTTTAATAAAAAAGATTTCTTGGATATTTAAGAAAGACAGCATTCCCCTCCATATTCTTTCATTTGGTGAGAAAAGAAAAAAAACAAGAAACCCAACCAATTTTAATGTATTTCTAGAAAATTATGTAATGTTCAAAACTATCATGCTTATATTTTCATTTTAAATGTATTAACTCTTTTAGATCAGGTGTTGGTAAGGGTTAGACAGTAAATATTTTCAGCTTTGCAGGCCATATTGTCTGTCATAACCATTCAAACTACTATTACAAGCATAAAAAAAATCCTAAACAATACATAAATAAATGGGCTTGCCTGTGTTCCAACAAAACATTATTAACGAACTGAAGATGGATTTGGTCTGTCAGCCATAGTTTGCAAACTCCTAAGAATTTACTGAATGTCTACAATGTTAGAAACTGTATTCATTTAGACTCAAATTGGCTTTAATAAATTAACTTGTTGATATATAATAGCAGTTTGAATGTATTATTTATTTTCATCATTATCATACTTACTAAAAAGATATTCAAATTTTGCAGCTTCTGACACAAAGTATCTCCAATGCAGGCTCGTAAGGCATCATATCTATCTCCTCTGAAGAAAAGAACATTCCAAAAAAACAAAAACAAAAAAACAGAAAGGCATTTAACACATTATTAAGATTAGTTTCATTGTTAACACAAATTTAATGTTGTACATTAAACTGAAGTCAGAACTTTTGGGGTATGTGTATTTTGGGGAGAATGAATCCATAAGCTTTTATCAGATTCTCAGAGATTTGTTACTCAAAAAGGTGAATCATTAATACAAACAAAAGTTGCAGACAGCACCTGTTCATCAGAATGGTTATTTTCAATGCTAATTATTCTCATAAAAATATATAATTTAAGCCCTAGCCAGTTTGGCTCAGTGGTTAGAGTGTAGGCCTGCGGACCAAAGAGTCCCAGGTTTGATTCTGGCCAAGGGCATGTATCTCAGTTGTGGTTAGTCCCCAGCCCCAGTTGGGGTCATGCGGGTGACAACCAATTAATGTGTCTCTCACATCGATGTTTCTCTCTCTCTCTCTCTTCCTCTCCCTCCCACTCTGTCTGAAGATAAATGTAAAAATATCCTTTGGTGAGGATTAAAACAAAAACAAACATATACATATATATATATATATATATATATATATATATATATATATATAAACACATATATATAATTTAAAACTTTATATTACTTAATTATAAAGTGGTAAAGGCACATAGCATTATTATGACATGTCACCTAGAGAAGAAATGACTGCAGAAGTAAATGAGTTAGTTTCAGAAAAGACATTTAATTGAAAACAAATGCATGTTTAAACAAAAATTCTTTTAATCCAGTTGCCTCTAACAAATAGACAAATAAGAAAAAAGCAACAGAAATTCCAATATTACCGTGGGAGAAATTCTTCACGCTCAGGTTTGCTTAGGAACTCGACAATATCTGCTGCTTCAATGTATAACTTAAAGTACAAGATAAAAATATAACTTACTATGTATAAAACTTAAATCAAGAGAAAAAATAGTCACTTTAGTTGTTATTTAATAATTAAAGAAAATGATAAAAATACCAATTTAGAATAAAATAAAAATGAGAATTGTTTTTTATACAATATACACTCCTGTAGTCCTTCTTTCATTAAAACAATGATTAAACCTGAAGGATTTGTTAAAATACTAATTTGATTCATGTAATTTAGCCATCTTAAAGATGTCTGTTTTAACAAACAAAAGAATACTTCATCTCCAAACCTATTTCATATAAATACATAAAAACTCTGAAAGTCCCATTCAATTTTAGCTACATTTGAATATGTAATAAAGGGGACCAAGTTTTGCCACCCCAAATATGCCTTTTGGGTAATTGATTTTAATCTGGTTATTATGACACAAAATACTCAGAAAGAACTTTGACCCTTTCCCTGCCTAAAGGAATTCAGATAGAACAGCCTGCTAAAAGGAAGGGAGCATCACCTTAGCAACATAAACTAAATGTGGCAGAAAGGTAGAAATCTAGCAAAGCCTGTCTGGTGAACTTTCCTCTATTTCCCAGCAAGAATTAGTTACCACATGTTTGATCTTTCTCATCTATCTATAAATTGCCTGCTTTCCCTTTGAAATCTCAGGCTCCTGCCTCCTTCTCCTTTGTCCATATGGTATTTAAGTCTCAACTGCGCAATGCCTCCTTGGGGTCTCATATTCTATGGCACCCCCATTCGTACATCCTTCATTCATTTTGGACATTTTCTGCTGTTACAGCATTTTATGTTAATTTGATTAGCCCAACTAAAAGAACTTGGAAGGTGAGAGGAAAATTATTTTTTGTGCTGTCAGTAATTTGATTACTCTTTGAAAAGCAAGTATCTAGTCTATATTTATTTTCCAGCTTGGATATATTATATGTCACTTATAATGCATTTAAAAAAATACCAAGCGGACTTAGGGTAAACTAATGAAAAAAAGAACTAAGTCTCACTCTCATTTTCATTTAAATTACTTATGTGGCTAAATTTGAACATGACCAAATGGTTATTATTTACTTATAACACAGTATGTATATTATTAATACAATTTATATTATTTCCCGTGACATTAACAGTTGTATCTAATCCAGACTTTTACAAATAAATTTGTACTGTGTTAAAATAAATAAAGTAATTCAGCAGCAAAATAGCACTCTGTAATACTGGCCAGTGTGGCTCAGTTGGTGTCCTTCTGCACACTGAAGATTGCCAGTTAAATTCCTAGTCAGGGCATATGCCTGGGTTGTGGGTTTGTGGGTGTGCAGGAGGCGATCAATGTTCCATCACATTAATGTCTCTCCCTTCCTCTCTAAAAGTCAATCAAAATAAAAATCTTAAAAAAAAAGTGTCATGTGGATACCTCTTAAAACATAAAAAATGATAAAAGCTATAGTTACAAAGTGTAGTGTTTCAAAAAAGTAAAGGCCTGCCCTGACCTGTGTGGCTTAGTGGATTGAGTGTCATCCCATGCAGCAAGAGGTCGCTGGTTCAATTCCTGATGAGGCACATGCCTGGGTTGTGGGCTCTATCCCCAGTAGTGAATGTGAAGGAGGCAGCCAACTGATGTTTCTCTCTCATCTATGTTTCTCTCTCTCCCCCTCTCCCTTCCTCTCTCTAAAAAAAAAAAATCAATAAAAACATATTTAAAAAAAAAAAAGTAAAGGCCTGAAGAGTATCCTTTGATATCATCTGCCAACTATTACTTCTGGTAACAGAAACGAGGGTTTTTTAAAAATATTTTTTATCCTATCTAGCTCTCAAATCTACCATTCCCTTGCCTTCTACCTTTGGAAGTATATACCTAAAAAAGGAATCTGAAGATTCATGATGCCAAAGATTCTATGGAATAAGTTCAAGAGTCTTGACAGCCCATGAATGCTAAGCTAATAATATAAGAGACTAAGTGTAAGGATATAAAATTCATTCCCTCACTGTCACAAATGAGGGAACTTCATCCTAGAATGCAACTCTGGCTTACAGTCCAATAGCCTCAATATATGATCCTATCAGTTTCAATCATAGAATTAATTTTTGGTGGCATCTCTTTCATGCATCAAAAAATATTCTAAGGTTGCTTTTATAATATATCAATACTAAAAGTCATAACAGACATTTATTATATAGATGGAGAATTCAACCTTAAATATAAAATAATATTAAAATACAGAACTAACCCACTGACACAAAGGAGAAAACTTTCCTGTCACAGCTTTCAATACTTCTTGGCTGGCAACACCTCCTACTGCAGCAGCAAGTGGGGGTAAAAAGCCTTGAGCAGTCCAAGAGAGCCAACGTACATCAGCAGCATTTACTTCAGGCTGAAACACAGGCGATGAAAGACAATAATGTTAACAGTATTCACATGGTACACTCAAAATTTCAATGACTTAATGTGAGAATATTATAGTTTAACTATTAAAAAAAAAGCTGTTTCTCTACTAAATAGTTGTTAAGTCCTAAGAAAGTTCTAATGACACGATGAAAAACCCAGTAGCATGTTAGTTACCCAAGCAATATTTCTCTTTATCAGTACCTGCCATTTTTGCTTCTGAGTCTTTATATTACACAAGGGCACCATTCAGAATTAACCGAAATATCTGCATTTATAGTTTTTGTTAAATAACAGTTCTGTGATGTCTGTCAATATTTAGAAACAACCAGAATTTAAAAAAAGGTTTTAACAAAAACTCCAGGAAAACCTTGAACATAGATAGACAAATAAAAATAAAATGACCCATAAAAATGATATGGATCTATCAGTTTGTGCTCTAAGTGGTATATAAAAAGTAAAAGTGTGAAAAGCAATACATGTTAAAAAAGTCAGTTTAGAAAAAATTAAGAGCATAATGGCACTTTTCCATACTAATCTAAGAACTAATCATCACAAAGTTCTCATTATCATACTTAAAAATTGAAATGTTTCTCAAAATAAGAAAGGAAATGTTGAAGATTTGAATTTTGGAGCTATTATTTTAGCATAATTTCTTATTTGTGATAAAGATCTCTTCATGAGCTCTGTTTTCTATTTCTTTCAACATTAGTAACCTTAATCTTAACCTTAAGATTAAAGTTTGGCTAAATTAATCTCCTGAAAACCTATGTAAAAGAATAGTACTTGTGCACCGAGGGGGAAAGAGGAAAGACTTTTTTATATTTTCAGAGATACCTATGACTAAAAAAAAAAAAGGTTAGTATCTACTCACTATTCTATCCACTCCACTTCAATTTTCTGTATCTCATAGTTTTTCAACTATTTAGCACAACACTTAATTCAGAGTATAATTTCATTTAAACTGTACCATGTGAATGCAGATATTGGTGGTATTGATAATATTAACAACAATAACGAGAATGTTAACAGAAGCCCTAGGATAATGACATCGGTCTAAATCTGAATTTCCCCACAAAATCTCCAGAAGATCACATACATATCCACAAGAGAAATAAACCAGTGGTGGGGCTTCAGCATTACTAGTAAATAGAGAATATTATGACTTTCAAATTACCTGTAAAAAGAAAAATAAACATCAAACTCCAACAGAACTATTTCTGGACTTCATATTGCTGTAAACCTGCACAGAGCAGGAAGCATGAAACCACAGGAAAAAGAATGAAAGGCTTAACAGTGACAAAGTATAGTCAAAAATCACCCTGGGAAAATAGAAGGTCTCACACTAAGTGCAAAAAGTACTGAGCATGTATGAAATATGGCAGATCTCGGCAATGTCTATGGTAAAAAACTTCTCTGGGAAAAAGATATAATTAGAAAGGGGGAGGCATCCTTTTACAGATGCCAGAAATCAAAAAGATTCATACATACCAAGCCATACACCCCCCCCCCCTCCTACAAAACTGCCACCCATTAAAGAAACTCCTTTTCGTTATCCTGAGAGAGGGGGGTTCTAGAAGTAGGAATCTAAAAAGCACTCAAAACTCTTACCCTGTCCAAAAAATAAGCAGAAAAATCAGCTTACCATACAAAACTAATAAAAGAAAGCAAAATTAGAATCAAAACATTTCAGCTACTGAAAATTTATCTCCCAAACTAATTACAAGGCAGAGGAAATTTTACTTAGTGATTATATATCAATAATAAACACTTGGAAATGTGGCAAAACAAACACAAAATACCTCACCTTGAATCAGAAATTTAATAAAAAACAAACTAATCCATTCTACCCCCCAAAAGCAAGGTATAAATGAATAAACAAAAATCAGAAACTATGTATCAAAGTGGACTCTGAGTATACCTGGGAAAATTGATCAACCTTAAGACATGTCTTGGTAAAACTATTATAAAGATGAAAAAACATATAGAAGAAAAAATATACAGGGCCTCAACCCCAAAAGATCTGATTACTGATAAGAGTAATAAATGAAGCTTCATAATATTTCTCAAAAATAACACATAGGACTTCTGGTCAAATGGCAGCACAAGTAAATGTGGTACTCACCTCTTGCCACAACCACATCAAAATTACAAGTAATCTACAGAACAACCATCCTTCAGAACCGCCTAAAATTGGGCTGAAGGGAACTCCTACAACTACGAAATTAAAGAAGCCACACTAAGACTGGCTCCGGCGTGGGGGAGGCAGCTTGAAAGGCACCAGAGACATACGGCGAAGAACTGAGTTGTTTAGCATGAGGGCAAGAGCTAGAGAGGCAGCTTTCTACTGGACAGACATGCTGGTGGACACCATTGTTCCTTTGCTGAGCCCTTCCCCTAAGGCCCCAGTAGATTGACACCATATCTGGGACTCCAGCAACCTGGCTCACACTGTTTGCCCCACCCTGGTGATTCCCTGAGGCCCCGCCCCACCCATCTTCTGGGCCCACCCAGCTGTTTCCAATGGCTTTACCATAGAACTGGCTTAAGGTCTTGCTTAAGATTTTCCTAAATTCTCTCAAACAAGCATTATCTGGCTTCAGCATGCCTCATACCTCTTGCTGAGTGGCCCCAGGCCTGGCACTAGAAATAGCCAGTCTTGGTTCACAACGTTGCTTTTCCTGGTACCTTCAGGCCAAGCACAAGCATCCATCGACAGATCACTTTGTAGCTTATGCCTGGTAACCCTGGGTGGAACACAGCCAGTGGCTGATCTTGTCCCAGAGCCAGCACACCCAGTGGACAGCTTCAGACCACGTCAAAGCACCACCATCCAACCACCTCTACAAGTGACACACAAAAAATGGATTCAGGGGGTACTAGAGCACTGCTGAAGTAAGTCTTGCTCTGTGCGGTGGGCCTATGCACAACTGATCTGCCAAGGTAGTCAGAGGTCAGTGGTTAGTGGGCACAGCCGGTCCTTGCAGCTGATCAGCCTGAGTAAATCCCTCCTGCTGACGTGCCAACAGCAATCAAGATTCAGTTATAAACAAGAGGGTACAGTCCACATGAAGGGTGCACCTCGGGGGCCCAGCTGGGGTGACCAGGGAGGCCGTTCCAATAGACCCTACAGGACACCTACTACAATAGGCTACCCTAGGAAGCCTAGGAGGCATACAAACTACCTAATACAAAGAAACAAACACAGGGAGGCAGCCAAAATAAGGAGACAAGGAAACAAGTACCAAAAAAAAACAGAACAAAACTCTAGGAAAAGAACTAAACAAAATGGAGGTAAGCAATCTAACAGATGCAGAGTTCAAAACACTGCTTATAAGGATGTTCAATGAACTTTGTGAGAATTTCAAGGAACTTCATGAGAACATCAAAAAACTTAGTGAGGACCTCAAGAGCATAAAAAAGGACCAGTCAAAAATGAAGGATGCAATAACTGGAAAAAAAAAAAATTTACAGGGAATCAATAGTTGAGTAGGTGAAGCCAAGAAGCAAACCATCAATTTGCAATATAAGGAAGCAAAACATACCCAATCAGAACAGCAAAAAGAAAAAAGAATAAAAGAAAAATGAGGATAGTGTAAGGAGCCTGTGGGACAACTTCAATTGTACCAACATTCACATCATGGGGGTGCCAGAGAGAGAAGAGGGCAAAAAAATTGAAAACCTATTTGAAAAAATAATGATAGAAAACTTCCCTAACTTGGTGAAGGAAACAGACATACAAGTCTAGAAAGCACAGAGTCCCAAACAAGATAACCCCAAAGAGGCCCAAACCAAGACACATCATCATGAAAATGCAAAAGGTTCAAGACACAGACACTCTTTAAAGCAGCAAGAGAAAAGCAGTTAGTTACCTACAAAGGAGCTCCCATAAAACTGTCAGCCTATTTCTCAAAAGAAACTTAGCAGGCTAGGAGGGAGTGGCAAGAAATATTTTATTTATTTATTTATTTATTTTTTAATCCTCACCTGAGGACATTTTTCCATTTTTTGTACAGATAGAGTGGGAGGGAGAGAGAGGAAGAGAGAGAGAGAGAAACATCGACGTGAAAGGGACACATCGAGTGGCCGCCACCCGCACGACCAACCAGGGCCGGGGACAAACTGCAACCGAGGTACATGCCCTTAGCGGGAACCGAACCCGGGTCTCTCTGTACCGCAGGCCGACGCTCTAACCGCTGAGCCAAACCGGCCAGGGCGTGGCAAGAAATATTTAAAGTGATGAAAAGCAAGGACCTACTACCAAGATTACTCTATCCTGCAAAGCTGTCATTTAGAATCGATGGACATACAGAGTTTCTGAGACAAGAAAAAGTTTAAGGAGTTCATCACCACCAAACAAGTATTATAGGAAATGTTGAAGGGTCTTCTTGAAGATGAAGAACAAAAATATTAACAATAAGATGGCAATAAGTACATATCTATCTACAAACAAAATGAACAAGTAGAACAGAAACATCGACTCAGATACAGAGAACTTTTGGATGGTTGCCTGATGGGAGGGGGTTTGGGTGGATGGGTGAAAAAGGTGAAGGGATTAAGAAGTACCAATTGGTTGTTATACTGACGAACCTCAAAGGGAAGGGGGAGGTGGGGTGGGAAGAGATAAACCAAAGAACTTAAATGCATATATGCATAACCAATGAATAGACAATGGAGTGGGGAAGGCAGGAGAGAGGCGGGAGTGGGGAGGAGGGGGTCAAGGGGATAAAAGGGGGATATCTATAATACAGTCAACAATGAAGATAAATTTAAAAAGAAAAAAAAAAGAATAATATACAGAGCAAGATATCATTGAAGAAAGAGCCTAGAATTTTGTGTCCATCACAATCATCTTTCAAGTATGAAAGCTACAGAAAAAAATTAAAACATTGCCTGGCTGGTGTGGCTCAGTGGACTGAACATCCCATGGACTGGTTGGATACCTGGTCAGGGCACATGCCTGGGTTGGGGGCTTGGTCCCTGGTGAGGGGAGTGCAGGAGGCGTTCAATCGATGATTCTCTCTCACATCTATATTTCTCTCTCTCTCCCCCTTTCTCTCTAAACAAAATCAAAACATATTTTAAAAAATTAAAATATGTAAGAACTCAGGGAAAACTGTAATTCTGATCTCTTTCTGAGACATATACTAGAGACCAAAACTGATTTTAAGATTTACTATAAAGCAAGAGTAGCCAAAATAGAATGGTACTAAGGAAAGAATAGAAATAACCAATAGAAGATAACAGTGAGTTCAGCTATAGTCCTATACATTTTTGGTCAATTAATTGTTGATAAAGATGCCTTAAAAATGAATAGGGAAAAGAACTGTTTTTTCAGAAAATGGGCTAAAATTATTAGATATTCATATACAAAATAATTAACTTTGACCCACACCTGGCAAGGTGTAAAATAATGAAAACTCACAAAAGTACAAAACTGTACACAATGATTTCAAAATATAGTCATGTACACCTGAGCTAAACTTTGCATGTTATACAAAAATGAATTCACAAAACTGTAAACCACACACACACACACACACACAAATTGAACTTAAAATGAAAAACTTCTGCTTTTTCAAAAGGATGTAAGAAAATGAAGAGACAACCCAGAGACTGGAAAATAATATTTGTAAAACATGTATCCAGTAAAGGACTGATATCTAGAATATATAGAAAACTCTCTCAATTAAAAAGAAAACAAACTACCTAATTAAAAAATAGGAAAAACTTTGCAAAGACGGTTTATCAAAGAAGAGATGAATGACAAATAAGCACATGAAAAAAACGATCAAATTCATAGACATTAATAAAGTTCAAATTAAAATGACAATGAGATACAAATGCACATTCTTTAAAATGACTAAAATCAGCCCTGGCTGGGTGACTCAGGTGGTTGGAGCATCGTCCCATATACCAAAAGGTTGCACAATGGATTCCTGGTCAGGGCACATGCCTAGGTTACAGGTTCAATCCCCAGTCAGGGCATGTGTGGGAAGAATCTGACAAATGTTTAACATATCCTCGGGTGAGGATTTTATATATATATGTGTGTGTGTGTGTGTGTGTGTATTGGCTAAAATCAAACAGATAATATAAAGTTATAGAGAGAATGCAGAGCAACTCAAACTCATACATTTGTGGTGGAAATGCAAAATGGTGCAGCTACTCTACAAAACAATTTGGCAGTGTTTCACAAAATTAAACAATATATATATATCATATGACTCTGTGTTAGGTGTCCATCCAAGAGAATTGATATGTCCACATCAAAATCTGTATGCACATGTTTGTAGCAGCTTTATTCATAACTTCCCAAATTGGAAACAACTCTAATGTCTGTCAACTGGTACAGGGACAAACTGTAGTTCATTTATACAATGGAATACCACTCATCAATAAAATGGAATGAATATGTAACAACATGGATAAAAATCAAATTCGTTATATTTAGTTAAAAAATCCAGACTCAAAAGGCTACATCTACATGACATGCTCTATTGTGTACTCACCACCTGAAGCCTAGTCTCCTTCCATCTGTCACCTTGTATTTGACCACCTTTATCCTCTTTGTTCTCTCTCCAACCAGTCTCCACTCTGGTAACCACCCTTCTGTTGTCTATATCCAGGAGTCTGTTTTTGTGTTTGTTTATATGTTTGTTCCTTTGTTGTTTTTTAATATCCCACATATGAGTGAAATTATATGGTTTTTGACCTCTCACACATTTTTTCTAACCACTATATATGCAATAAGGGGGTCTTTCACTTATGACTAGTGCACTGTTTTCAGTACATTTATTATCTCCTTTGTATTAATCACATAAAATATGAGATATTATTCTTACTAATGTTAAGACTTTTATTTTTCCTTCTTTTTTTATAAAATAAGAACAAAAAAAACCACAATTTGCAAATAACTGCACTAACATTGTTATGTTTATATCTGCTAAAATGAAACTGTTGGCCAACAGGCAATGGCACTATAACATAAAAAAAAAATTCATTTTCTAGGTGATATGTCAACACAATATATGTAAACTGCAATTAAGAGATAAGGACATGTAATTTATAAAAGAGACAATTTATATATAGGAAAGCTAATAACTTTGTATAGTGGGTTACACATCTTTAGTAAGTAAACCAAGTAAATTAAAAGAGAAAATACTAATGCTAAAAATAAAGCAGCAAGGGCAAATTCTAATTACTATATGCCACATACTGTTCTAAGTACTTTATATAATTAAATTATTGTTGTTGTTCACAACAACCCTCTGGGGCAGATTAACCGCATTTTATAGAATTATAAATTAAAGCAGAATGAAGTCAACTAACTAGTCTACTGTCAGAATCAGTAAGTAGCAATACTTGGATATGTAGAGTCAGAGAAAATTAATATATAGAACATTGATGTTACACATTTTTTGATAGCTGTAACTTTGAATATTCACCTTCTCTTCCAAGGTTTCACTTATAGATGCTGCTAGTTTCAACAGCTCGTCTGAATCTTTTTGGCATCTAGGATTCAAAACAAATCACCCCCAATTCAATTTTCTTAATTGCTATAAACCGTAGGTCACATTCAAATATAAAATTTAAGAAATATGTTACAAATGTAGAATTTTGCTAACACAAGTGCTTTACTGATCTCAGATTTTTATTTAAAAAGCTATAGCTTTTGAAGAATTCAAAAAGGGAAAATTCTTATTTAATATAATTCCAATTTTATAAATCACTCTCTCTACTCTCACCAGAAAAAAGACCAGGAAATCATAAAAAATGTTTATATAATTTGGGTGCTGCAATCATAAGAGGCTTAGTTACTTTTAAAATATTTTAATCTATAATTTCTGAAATACTGTTTTTATAATAAAGAAAAAAGTTATTTGAAACAAAGAATGTTACCCAATATTTGGCTTGCGACTGTAGTTCTCCTGAAATTGATCCAAGGCAAGCATAGCTGTATGAATCTGTAAAGGTGCCTATTTAGAACATTAAAAAATTGGTCAACGTAAAATTGGCAAATTACTATATGCCAGGCACTGTAATAATGCTTTTAAAACATTATTTAACTGTTACAATAAATGAATTAGCTTAGTACTATTATTACCCCTATTTAATAGAGGAGCAGGCTGAGTCTTAGAGAAGTTAAATGACTTGACTTCAAGGCAATAAAGTAATATTTATGCATCAGATCTATGTCTCAATCCCAGGTGGTATGACCAGTTTTTACTAGGTTATCTATTAGAAACTTTAAGTAATAACAACTAAACAACAGCAAAAAAACATTTGTACAAGATCACTTCCTTCCTTTTTCCTTATCAACATTTACAACTAGGGCTGGGGACAAACTGCAACCAAGGTACGTGCCCTTGGCGGGAACTAAACCTGGTATTCTCTGGTCCACGGGACAACACTAACTGCTGAGCCAAACTGGCCAGGGCCAAATTTGGAAACTCTTAACATAACATTTTCTTTATCACAAATACACTCACTCCTACAAAATTATATTCAGTGATTTAAAAAAAAAAAAAGGCCTGGCTGATGTGGCTAAATGGTTGAGAGTCGACCCATGCACCAAGAGGTCACCAGTTCTATTCCCGGTCAGGGCATGTGCCCAGGTTGTGGGCCAAACCCCATTGGGGGGCATGCAAGAGGCTGCCAACCAATGTTCCCTCTCATTGATGTTTCTATCTCTCTCTCTCCCTCTCATTTCCTCTCTCTCTAAAATCAATAAAGAAAAAAAAATGCTTCTAAGGTTTACTGGGAAAAAATGAGTTATTATATGAAACTCTACATGGTTCAGGAAATCTTTTAATACGATCACCTTTGTATAAATTATTGAAATTGTCTTTTAACTATCAGAGCTCACATATCATTATGAAACTTTTTTCTATTAATCTAACATTTTTCCATGATACAAATTTCTGTTTTTAATCCTTGAGAGTCAATTTTATATCTGTGAAACAATCTTTATCAAGAAAATCTTAGCCTGGCTGGTGTGGCTCAGTGGACTGAATGTCCCATGGACTGAGAGGTCCTAGTTCGATTCTAGACAGGGCACATGACCGCGTTGAGGGTTTGATCCCCAGTAGGGGGTGTGCAGGAGGCAGCCGATAGATGTCTCTCTCTAACATCGATATTTCTCTCTTTCTCTGTCCTGTCCTCTCTCCCTAAAAAAAAAAAAAAAAAATCAGTAAAAACATATTAAAAAGAAAATATTAAAGAAAGGTATATACATGGTTGCTCCATTTTAACTTTATAATTTCTTATCAATCCCCATTCCCGCCTCTGTTGCCTCTCTTAAAACCTCCTAAGGGTTTATTTACCTCAGGTTTGCTAAAATCCACAATAAGGCACTTTGGATGTTTTATCTGCTTCTCCAATGATTCCTAATAAAAAGACAAAACAAAACAATTACTCCAATGCAAACGAGTGATTACTTGACAAAATGTACAGAGCACTAAAAGCAATAGGTCTTTCCAAAAAGTCTGAGTCTGAAATAAATAAAGTTGGGCTATTAAGTTTTTTTCTTCATCTTCTTTAAAAAGTAGTATTATGAATAACATATTCACTAATCCACTGAGTCAACATTGACTGAGCTATTACGTGCAAATTAATTAAACAGGACTCATAATGATTTGGTATTAAATGTCTACTTTCCACTGAAATGCTGACTCTCCACCCTCTTGACTGGAAGCCTGGGCTACTAAGTTTTAACTGAAATATAAAATAGCTTCCATTCTTCCTGCTACCCCTTGTCTTATTACCATACTTTATTTATTTTTAATGTTAAATGCAATTAGACAACATGATTCACATAAAACATTTGGGAAGAAATGATAAAATCATCTGTATAATAATAAAAAAAATCTATTGTGTTAACCGAAAAGCTACCATATTTTTCTGGTCTCTTATTTCAAGACTTGTTATGCCTGACAAGACTAGACAACTCAAAGTTAAAATTTTCTGTGTGTAGCTAAGAACACACAAAAAACAAACAAAAAACCCCAACCAACTTATCAAACAAAAAACCCCACAAGGAAAAAAACCCAAACACCCATACAATCTGAAATTTACTTGAAACATAAATTATCAAACTAACACCTGGGGACAGGGGCAAGAGGAAGTAAGGCAGGGGCAGATTTGACTAGAGATAGTTATTTTGTTCTAATTTTGGTTTGAATAAAGCCTTGTAGAAGACTACAGTTAATAATAATTCTGGAAAAGAAAAGGCAATCAAGTTAAAACCTTGAGAACTAACAAGAAAAAAATAGAGATGTATCAGCTTATACTGAGAAGTGCGCTAAAGATTTAAGCAGCAAGAGACTCCTGAGTTCCTTGATACAAGTAGCCTCTACTTTGTTTCTATTCAGATACTTACATTTTCCTTTCAATGCCAGATAATAGGCATTACTTTATTTTCCCAACATATACACTATTTCTTGAAATTTAAAATATTAAAACAATAAAAGAATACTTCTTTTACTTAAAAAAATGTAAGTAAGTAAATAATAAAATATAACATTTCAAGGCTTGTTACATCTTCCCAAAATATACTAAGTTTCATCTTTTGTTTCTGGAAGTAACTGAAAGAAATATGATTGATGCTGATGATTCACAAAGGTGTAGTTCCTTTGAGGTAATTTATTTATTTTTTATTTTATTTATTTATTTATTTATTTTATCCTCACCCAAGGACATTTTTCCATTTTTTGTTCAGGTAGAGTGGGAGGGAGAGAGAGGAACAGAGAGAGAGAGAGAAACATGGATGTGAAAGGAACACATCGAGTGGCTGCCACCCACACAACCAACCAGGGCCGGGGACAAACTGCAACCGAGGTACGCGCCCTTAGCGGGAACCGAACCCGGGTCTCTCAGAACCGCAGGCCGACGCTCTAACCGCTGAGCCAAACCGGCCAGGGCGTAATTTATATACTTTAACTTTATGCATGTGTTATTCTAGCTGTACATTTTTTTGTTGATACCAGTTTATTTCTTTAGATTGATACAATTTTCCTCAAAGTGAGTACAAATTTAAAACAACATCTGTTCAGGTTTTAAATTTACTGGTTAACTGACTATTTTATTACTTTATTTCTCTTCTGCCATTCCTTTTTTGAAGAGAAATACATAAAGATTTTTTAATCCTCACCTGAGGACATTCCCCGCCCTCCCACCCCACCCCCGCATTTATCTTCAGATAGAGCGGGGAGGGAGAGAGGGGGAAGAGAGAGAGAAACATTGATATAAGAGAGACATATCGACTGGTTGCCACCCCCATGACCCCAAATGGGGTCGGGGACAAACTGTAACCGAGGTACATGCCCTTAGCGGGAACCGAATCCGGGTCTCTCTGATCTGCGAGCTGACACTCTAACTGCTGACTCAAACTGGCTAGGGCAAGAAATATTTTCTTTTGAGCAGAAAAAATACTTACAAAGTAAAATGTTTTAGGAGTCTTAACTTGGACAGCTATCCCTCCATATAAATAAGGTTCCAGTTCTGTAGTATCACCAATGCTAAAAGAAAACGGTGATAACACTAAAAGAAAAAAAGAAAATAATTTACTGATAGAGTTACTGAAATGTGAAGATTTATCATCAAGATGTTAATTTCCCCTACTTTACAAAATTAAGATCCCAGTATAAATATTTTTTTGGGGGGGTGGGGAGAGGTGGGGAGCAATTGCAGGGGTTGGAAGGAAGTGTGGAGAGCCAGACAAATTATTTTTCCAATGTGAATTTAAGTACTTAAAAATAGCCAAGAAAACTGAAAGGAAAAAAATAATAATGACATTAGATATTTAAATATTTTATAAAGCCTCCATAATTAATACATTGATACTAGTTATACATAACTAATAATAATTAATGTAGCATGGTACTGGTTCATGAACAGACAGGCAGACACACAGAATTAGAGAATTCAGAAACAGACTCATGAAGGATACAATTAAGGAAAATGGCACCTCAAACCTTAAAGGGAATGATAAGATTATTCAATAAATCTTTGGGGAAAAATGCCATCTGGAAAAGTATCTAGTCCAAATGGGTAAATATTTTAAATGTCTAAGATGATGACCAAAATACATTAAGATAGAAGCATGAAAGAAAAATTTCTTTAAAACTTTGCAGTCAGGCCCTGGCCAGTTTGGTTCAGCGGTTAGGCCCTCGGACCAGAGAGTCCCGGGTTTGGTTCCCACTAAGGGCACGTACCTTGGTTGCAGTTCTTCCCCGTCCCAGTTGGGGTTGTGTGGGTGGCAACCATTCGATGTGTGTCGCACATCATGTTTCTCTCTCTCTTCCCCCCTCTGTCTGAAGATAAATGCAAAAATGTCCCCAGGTAAGGATAAAAAAAAACAGACCAAAAAACAAAACTTTGCAGTGAGGAAGGCTTTTCTAATTATGACTCAAAATAAAAATTATTAAAATAAAAAATTTTAATTTGATATTATATACACTCAGTAAAAACCAATCACAAGCAAAGTCAAATGCCAAACTAGAAAAAAATATTTGCAATTTATATTAAAAACCGCCAGCAAGCCCTGGCCGGTTTTGCTCAGCAGTTAAAGCGTTGGACTGTGGTGTGGAGAGACCCGGGTTTGGTTTCCCGCTAAGGGCACATACCTCGGTTGCAGTTTGTCCCCAGCCCTGGTTGGGTTGTGTGGGTGGCAACCACTTGATGTGTCCCTTTCACGTTGATGTTTCTCTCTCTCTCTCTCTATCCCCTTCCCTCCCACTCTATCTGAACAAAATATCGAAAAATGTCCTCGGGTGAGGATAAAAAAAATGCCAGCAAATATGCCCTATATTTTAGGAGTTCCAAGGAATGGTTAAATAATCAACAACTCAACAGGAAAAAGGGTAAAGGATAGATGATTCACATTAAAGAACAAATAGTCTTAAAACTTAAATGCAAATTAAAATTGTACTGTGATACAATGAAATATTATGCAGCCATAAAAGAAAATTTAAAGAAAAAAAGCAAAAAGAAATGTTCTGAAATTACTGATGTGAAAAGATCATGTCGCTATTTTGTTTAGTGAAAAGGCAAAGGATAGATGCATAATATGATACACTGTATGTAAAAAAGTGTAAGGAAAGCCTGAAGGATACACAATAAACTAGGTGAGAACTGAGTGGGAGCCAAATGTAGGTAGAAAAGTTTTTACTGTAAACATCTGGTCTTTATTGTTTTTGAACAATTTCCATATTAAAAAAAATTAAATGAAATAAACAAAAGCCTTTTCTTCCCACAAGCCTTATATTAAGCATATATACATACATATATGTATATCTAGAATAAGCATATATTATTTTAGCTATTTAAAAATGTTTTCCAAATAACAGAAAATTATCTTGGACAAGTAAGTACCAATTAATAAATGTTAAAAAAAAAAAAAAAGTTTCATATACAGTCACTCTATTTAAATATGCCATTTCTGTCCACGAATTTTTGGAACAAACTGTGGGTTTTGTTTCTTTTCATTCCTTGATATCCAGTGGCTCCTCCTTTGATATGTATTCTCAAGAGTCTGATTTATCATCACAATGCATCATGGCATGGACCCCAAAATAAAAAATGATAATCCTAAATGTTTAGTTCAATCATTATTTGCAAAACCAGGTATCAATTCCTAATACCAATGATATGAACCTGTAATTTACATAATTAGATGTTGACTGGAAAAACAAATTCCAATAGTTTTTTTTTATTTTTTTTACCAAAGATGTTTAAATATAGATCCAAAGTTGTTTTTCTACAATGAGTTTCTAACAGGGACTGATTTTACTCCCCTAAGGATTCATTTTGTGGTCACTGAAAGAACAAAAAAGTAACCCATTTACTAGTCTATATACTAATCACATAATTATACTTTCAAAAGCCCTAAAGACAAAACTAAGGCACTCTCAGCTGAACAGGTACAAACTTGCCCTCTACGGGATGTCTAGCAATGTCTTAACTCTTAAATATGGCTGCAGGAAAATCATAAATTATGCAGACTAACACTGCTATAAATTCATTATCTTGAACATCAAAGGGGCCCTAAATGATGCCTGATAATCCTGCTATTTTTAAAAATGTTTATTCTCCTCAAATCTCGGTCTTGACACCTTTACAGTTCACTGGGCAATAATCTCATCTTAGTCCGCTGAAAAACAGATTTCTTCTATTTCTTGCCAACAAACCCACAACTTGTCTGTAGTAACATCCATTTATTTCTTTATTCCAACTGAACAAAAGCATATTATCTCCACTTGAATACTTCACTACCACCTCACTCCAGAAGCCTAAACTGTACTCATTACCTTTTCTCCAAAATGTGCTCCCTTTCTTGCATTCTCTAAGTGAATAAATAAGTTGTCCATGCTGGAACCTTTGCTCACCTACCATATGAGATATATAATATACCAAGTTTCTTCCTAAATGTCTTAGGAGTCATGCCATCTCAACTCCCACAGCCAGCCCTGCCACAGTATATCTTTCAGTTCCTTGAATTCTGTCTGGCCTTACTGTTTGTCTCTGCATACAATAATCTTTCCACCACCTTCCTAAGCCAATGCAATCTTCAAATTTTAATCAAAACACCTTGTCTGTACTATTGTGGTACCTAAACTGGGTAGGTTTCTTTGCTAAGTTCATAAAGACATTTAAAAAATTTTTTTTTGATTTTTAGAGACAGAACGAAGAAAGGGAAGGAGGAAGGAAGTGGGAGAGAGAGAGAAAGATGCCCTGCCCTGACTGGGGAATCAAAGCTGTAACCTTGGTGTTTCAGGACGATATTAACCAACTGAACAGCCTGGCCAGAGCCTCTTTGATAAGTTTAGAGTTCTCAGAATGCCTGTTATAACATCACTGCTTAATGTTAACATTTCCTCACTTAGATTGACTGTTTTGAGGCCAAGAACTGGATCACGTCTGTCTGAGTTGATGCTGTGTCCTTAACACTGAATATAGTATCTGAACTATACATGTGTAGAATAAATGAATTAATAAAATGTATCAACTTACCAGTTACTTGTTGTGTAGATCCATTTAAGCCTGTCATTCCATTAATTTCTCGAAATGTTAGAAATTGTCCTGTCTCAAGTTTGTGAGGATGATTTTCAAGGCAAGTGACAATGCCAGGATTGGCCTAAAAATAAGAGTAATCTACTAACAACCAAGTTCATGTATTACTTTTTTGTACAAATTCTAAATTTCACACACAAAGTACCACGTAGTCATAAAATTCTCAAAAAATCATCCCCAGAATTTCAAGCCATTCTTCTCCTACCTTAGTAAAAGCAAGCCTTTAAATAACTGTCACAAAACAGTGATCAACTTATTATTTTATTATGTATGTTTAAAATATAATTTCTGTGCTTAGGGGATATAGAGATTCTACATAGGAGTTCAAATATTTCACAGATTTGAAGATTCTTGGGATTTATAAAATATACTCAGTGTTATCGAATTTAAGTTTTCAAGTCATGTTATAAAAAACTGTGTGCATAAAAGATGAGAGTATAATTTTGAAGATTAAAGAAAAGCAAGAAAGGAGGATGGAGATTTAAAGCAGGGAAACTAGTAGTTAAATGTTTGCCCAACACTTTAAAGCAAAGACACACTGTGTACCCCAGCCAGCTTCTCAGGATAAAAATGAAACAAATTAGCTTATTTCATCAAAGAGGATGGATGAGATAGGTCAAAAACCCAGACAGTTCCTAATCTCACATAATCCTATACACTGTTTGATTAAGGTGATAATAATTTAATATACACGAAATCTAATTGAATAATCATTCTCTCTCTCTTTCATAACTACATAGATTCTAAAAATTCTCTTGCTGCTTAATGATCTAGATAAGAAAAAAATAACAATCACAAACATGTAGATAAAATTAATTTAATGTGGGTTTGCTAATATCTCAAGAATAGAATTGATAAGAGATTTATTAAGGAGAAATAATTCCTTGCAGATAACTTAAATGGGTATATTTATGATATTTTCTAATTATATATGACTACTTCAGCATTTCCTGCTCTATTCAATAAAAGAAAATAACAATGCAACATAAGCTCCCTTGGAGCTTATTCTAACTGTATTATATTCTCAGGGACAAACTAAAAACAACTACAGAAGGTAAATGGCTAAATAATAAACCTTTCTGTAAGCAGAGAGATACACAGAATTTTTTAATGAATTTTTCTTAAAAAAAAAAAAGGCAATATTACATTGGGTTTCAAAATAAAGCATAAAGAGAGAAGCACAAATACTACTAAAAGTATATTATTATTCACTTATGTTGACTTCTTTGGAGCTTTTAATGTAAACATTCTAAAAAGTACAAATGAAGTTAATGATTTAGGCTAAAAAGAAAGACTAAACATGGATCATAATGATTTTTCCAAATTTTGAGGGAATAAAAAATTCAAGCTGATCTGATATCAAAGACCTTTTGATTTGAAGATTAATTAATCCTTAAAACATTTTTCCCCTCCAAATAATGTTTTAGAAATATAATAGCTTTTGTCTATGGTAATTTAAGTGTGCATCTTCCTGGAGTCAGTTTGGGCCAGGTGACTTATGGCATAGCACATCTATGACTGACACAATAATTTAGCAAACACTGAATCACAGTTCATGTCCCATAAGGACATAACACAGGACAAAATTAAAATGAAAATTTATGACATAAGTGCCCTGGCCAGGTGTTTCAGTTGATTGGAGCATCAGCCCATACACCAAGGTTGCAGGTTTGATCCCCAGTTGGGATGCATGCAAGCGGCAACTGATCAATGTTTCTTTCTCACATTGATGTTTCTCTCTCTCTCTAAAAAATCAATAAAAACATATCCTTGTGAGAGGATTTAAAACAAATTATGACATAAGCAAATATTGACCTACTAGTTATTAAATAATGTTAGAAGAAAACAGGAATACTGTTTTAATAGTCTAACTTAAATTTAGCTTTACTATAACGCAATCAAGAAATTAACAAATATATTCCTTCATGAATTACCTTAAAATCTTGTAAAACAACTGAAAAATATTGCATATTATAATATTTTGCTAAATACTACCTTTTAAAAAATAGTATTCACATCAACTTAAAAAATTAATCCTATACATACACAATAATATACATTTACAATCATACTTGCGTTATATTTGAAATGAAGATTTCTTTTGGTTCTTCTCCTGTTGTATCTAAAACTTCAAATTCATCACCAAAATCACAAAACAACTGTGACCAAATTCCATGTATATCTGCACTGATGAACTGTAAAATGATAAAAACAAGTTCAAGCTTATCTATTTACATAAAGAAAAAAAACAAAAGAAAAAACCCCAGCTAAACTATCTTAGGCCCTTTTATGACAATTCCACTTATAATTAAGTATATTTTTTGGGATATAAAGTAAAAAATGGGATAAATTATTTGTCTGTATGCTGGTTTAGGAATCAAGGATTTTGGTATCTGGGACTAGATATCTAATGTAACAAAATTAGATGCAACATCAGTACATCATCATTATACATTCTATGATTTTTAAATAATGAAAATTCCTACCTTGCTCTAAAAGTCAAGCACAGTATGCAAGAGCAGATTATCTTGATTTAATAGTCCAGCAGTGAATTCTTACTTTTCATTTTAGAAAAGAATAGAGTGTCCATTCACCAAAAACAGTAGAGTTAATGAAAAATAGTACAGAGCTAAAAGCTGAGAGTGGAGTCAACAGAAAAGGGGTTGAGGAACTGACAGTGTACATCAAAATCATTAAAGGTAAAAATAGATTCTTGAACAGAATCATCAGTGTGTTATTAAAAGTGATTTTTATACTACACTATTCTTCATTCTAAATCTGTAAAGAAATTGTTTTTGTGTCCAGTTATTTTTAGAGTTACTGATACTATCTCTTACTTGATCAGGTACTGCTTTTACTATTAAAATAGGTACACAGAGCAGTTGTTATGAGACATACAATTGAGCAGAACTTTTAAAAAAGTTTTTAAAAGCTCAAACTTGAGGACAATTTCTTTTCAAAACAATTTTTAAAATGTGAATATATGTATCAACTACATAAACAAGGATTTAATTTATAAACTACTATAATTACTTTGTAAAATTTATGTGACCTTTTATTAGTTTAATGAACATTCTGTTTTACTGATCTGCTTAATTTAAATTGTGAACCACAGGACAGATGTTCTACAAAGTATAAATATGCTATATAATACCACATCTAAAAATTTTCGGGACATCCATTTTATACAGTATAATTATGGCTTAGTGCCCCATCTGAAACAGAACATTTTTTTCCTAGAAATAAATGACCCACAAAGGAGGTGGAGCTAGTAATATGTATTTAATTGCAGGGGAAGAATTTTGAGTTTTCTCATCTAAATCTCTTTCTAGTATTCCCAATGTCACCACGACTTACCTAATTAATCTGGACCAAAGCTACGAGTTATTATTTTTTAAATGTATCTTTACTGTTGCCTTGGCCAGTGTGGCTCAGTGGATTGAGCGTCATCCCATGGACTGAGAGGTCCCAGTTCGATTCCTGGTCAGACCATATGCCCAGGTTGTGGGTTCAATCCCCAGTAGGGGGTGTGCAGGAGGCAGCCAATTGATGTTTTTCTCTCACATTGATGTTTCTATCTCTCTCTCCCTTCCTTTCTAAAGATTCAATAACAACGTATTAAAAAATTCATCTTTATTGTTGAAAGTATTACAGATGTCCTTTTTTTCTCTCACATGGACCCCCTTCCTCCCTGCTCCCACCCCACCACGCCTTCACTGCACTATTGTCTGTGTCCAGTGGTTATGCATAAAAGTTCTTTGGTTTATCTCCCCCCCCCACTTGTCCCCCTTTTCCTCTGTGGTTCATTAGTCTGTTCCCTACTTCCATGTCTCTAAATCTATTATGTTCATGAGCTTATTCTGTTCATTAGATTCCACAAATAAGTGAGATCATGGGATATTTGTCTTTCTCTGACTGGTTTATGTCACTTATTGATCTTTCTTTCTCAGATCACACTGATTCACTATCAAGTTCTGTAAGACTTTTTTTTTTTTTTTATCCTCACCCGAGGACATTTTTTCCATTTTTTGTTCAGATAGAGTGGGAGGGAGAGAGAGAGAGAAACATCGACGTGAAGGGACACATTGAGTGGCTGCCACCCGCACGACCAACCAGGGCTGGGGACAAACTGCAACTGAGGTACATGCCCTTAGCGGGAACCGAACCCAGGTCTCTCTGTACCGCAGGCCGACGCTCCAACCGCTGAGCCAAACCGGTCAGGGCAACTTTTTTTTTTAAACAAAAAATACCTGAAATTCAACAACTCACAATCCCTATTCATGCCTCTCTTGAATAAGGCACCAACATCTGGATTACTGCATGAGCCCCTAACTAGATGCCTCTATTCTCCTCTTATAGTTCAACATTTCTGTTTCTTTTTGGTTTCACCACCCCTTCATGTTCTTAAAAATTGAGGACCCAAAGAGCTTTTGTTTATATGGTTATACCTACTGATATTTACAGTGTTAGAAATTAAAACTGAGAAACATTCAAAATACAAGAATACACACACACACACACACACACACTCTCTCTCTCTCTCTCTCTCTCTCCTCTCTCTCTCTCAGCTGTCAGAGCTATGGTATCACTACACATCAAGGACTGGAAACTTCAATGTGCCACATTAGAGAATCAGAGTGAAAAAGACATTATTAACATTTTAGTAATATGAAAATATTGTGACACCTGCAGACGCCATGAAAGGGTCTCAGGGACCCTCAGTGTCCTTGCACCACATTTAAAAATTACTGCTATAATCTATTCCCCATACAGCACAACCAGAATGAACTTTTAAAAATATAAATTGAGCCCTGGCTGGGTTGGCTCAGCGCTTAGAGCATCAGCCTGAGGTCCAGAGAGACCTGGGTTGGGTTCCCGCTAAGGGTACATACCTTGGTTGCAGTTTGCCCCAGCCCTAGTTGGGCCGTGCAGTGCGGGAGGCAACCACTCGATGTGTCCCTTTCACGTTGATGTTTCTCTCTCTTCCTCTCTCTCCCTCCCACTCTATCTGAACAAAAAATGGAAAATTGTCCTTGGGTGAGGATAAAAAAATTATATGAATTCAATCAAAACTCAGTCTTAAAACTCAGACATTCTCAACTCTGATCTATAAGAAAATGGCCTTCTAACTACTTCTCCAACCCAATCTTCTGGTATCTTTTACTCCTACTACTCTCTCTTCTTTACCCAAACTCCCATTCAGGACCCAGATGTCTCCTACTGTTCCTCACACACCAAGTGAATTTTTACACTTACAAGTCTTTACACTTGCACTTCTCGTTGCTTTGAATGCTCTTCCCCAGATGTGTACATTACATTGATGGCTCTTTCTCATCATTCAGGGCTCTATTCAAAGATCATCCCAGAGAAGACTTTACCTGACACTCAGTCCAAGAGAATCAGCTCTAACCCCTGTCCTAACACCATGAGGAAATTATACTGCATTCTTTACTTAGCCCTTTCCTTCATAGGACTTGAAAATACGTATTTATTTGTTTATTATATATCTCCCCTATTAGAAGGTAATTTTCATGAATAGGAAAATTTCTGTGTCCTATTCACTAATGTATTCATAGTGTCTAAAATTGTATATACTCAATGAATATTTGTTAAAAGAACCAATGTACTTCTTAAAAACCACCATCATACCATATTTAAAGTTAGATGATAAATTCAATATTTATCACCCTTCCTATTTCTGATCTTTATTCCTCCTTAGTTTTGGCAATCTGCCTATAAACTAAATTTAGATTGTAGTTTTAAAAATATGAAATAGACCCGCCGCTGTGGCTCAGTGGATTGAGTGTCATCCTATGGACTGAGAGGTCCCGGTTTGATTCCCAGTTGGGCACATGCCTGGGTTGTGGCCTCGATTCCTAGTAGGGGTTGTGCAGAAGGCAGCTGATCAATGTTATCTCCCTCACATTGATGTTTCTATCTCTCTCCTTTCCTCTGTCTCTAAATTAAAAAAAAAAGTCAATAAAAACATTAAAATAAAAAAATTAAATAAATATGATACTAAACTTAAAGAGAAAAATATTGTGATTGTCCTTCTATAAAAAGAGCTTCTTATATAACCCAATGAAAAGCTATAAATTCTAACAGTGAAAGCGTTCTTCCTTTGGTTAAATAAATATCACTATTAAGTGATACCATTACCTTAATTGGAGGGTACTGAGAACGGCAAAACTCATTGATTTTCTTCTGCAGTGGAAGTTTGATTTCAGTCAATACTATACACTGTTGAGAAGAAAACAAGAAATTAAAGACTAAAGAATACACAATTATTTTGGTAATGTACAACTTCTAAATCAGAAGCATTCCAATTTGCATGATGCTATAAATACATCTCCCTTGTAAAAAATACTATCCAATTGTATTCCATTCTAAGGTTACTATCTTCAGAGGTATGGAATAACAACAGCAAAAATAACATAGACAAGACAAAACCTACTCACATTAAATTCAATTACCATCATAGAATTCACAATTAGAAACAAACTTTAATTTCTTATGTGGTATTTATGCACTATAAAGATTAGAGTTTTTGTTTTGTCTGTTACTGCCATGAAAATATAAACCTAATCACCAGAATATTAATTTAATGCTAGTTTAAAGGGGTAATAATAACATTTTTAAAGAGATACATTAGTTGGCTTAGCTGTCTTTTACTTCAGAGATTCAACAGATTCACAATATAATTACTTTTGGTTTACGACAGTTTCATTAGTGAAACCGTGTTCTATAATAGCAAATTGTAGATTTTCAACGCTTACTTAATTTTTTTATCATTACCCTGTCACATAAGTAGAGAAGGTTTTATAATCAGATGTTGTCATAAGTAAGTCAGACTGATAAAGGTCAAATCCTTTCTTAGTGTCATTTGTCCATCATGGGGCAAAAACAGAGCTACACTCTCAGACCAGTCTTCCTTGCTGCTGGTTTCCATGGCTTGTAAAACTTAGTTTTACTACAAATATCCAGGTATTAATTTAGTATTATTTATCCAGTTCAGAACATGACGTGCTTTCTGCAAGAAGGTATTTCTCCATGGGTCTCTCACTTTTCATACATCTCACTAGGTATACCATGAATTCAAGGTTTGGATCATTTTTCACTTGTGACATTTCTCAGGATTGTATTTGTCTCACTGCAACTTGAGAAATGAGGTAATATCTCCCCACTCTCGGACAAAGAGGCAAGCTTGTTTATTGCTTGCTGAAAAACAGCAACCCAAAAGTCAGTGTTCCTCTCTCCTAAAGGAACCCACAACACGTGCCCTCTGCACTTCGTTAGTAGGATGTAGGGGAAGGCAAGAAGAAACAAGGCAGATACAATGCTCATAATTCTTACCACACTCTGAATAGTAAAGTCCTTAAGTCTGTAACCCAAGACTCTCATTTATTCTGCCAGCGTTCATCAAATAGTAACAGGTTAACTTAGCTTGTAAATAGGGTAAAATCAAATTCTAACTGTATAATGAATCTGTTTCATCAATGCTACAAAATTCTCAGTCAGAATTTATTTGAATATTGCCTTTTCTTAATGTTCTCCTTGTAGAAATTTAATCTCATAAATTGGACCTTTTCATTCAAGCTCTCATTTCTTTAACCTTTTCTTTCATATTTTCTCTTATTTCTGAGTATGGTAGTTCTCGTAATTTCCTCAGCTCTGTTTTCAACTCACTAATTTCTACTCCAGTGTGTCTATCCACAGCTTAACCTATTCACTGAGGTTTAATTTTGAAGATTATACTTTCATTTCTAAAAGTTTTATTTGTGTTCTTTTTTTTTTTTTTATTCTCACCAGAGGACATTTTTCCATTTTCTGTTCAGATAGAGGGAGGGAGAGAGAGAGAGAAACATCGATGTGAAAGGGACACATCAAGTGGCTGCCTCCCGCACAACCCAACCAGGGCTGGGGACAAACTGCAACTGAGGTATGTGCCCTAAGCGGGAAACGAACCTGGGTCTCTCTGGACCGCAGGCCCACTCTCCAATCACTGAGCCAAACTGGCCAGGGCTCTATTTGGTTCTTTAATCACATCTGCCTGATTGTTTTCAGTAGTGTCCTATTTTCATGTATATTAACCACTTCTTTTAAGATTTAGTTAGTTTGGTCTGGCCGGTATAGCTCAGTGGTTGAGCATCAACCCATGCACCAAGAGGTTGCAGGTTTGTTTCCTGGTCAGGACACATGCCCAGGTTGTGGGCCTGATCCACAGAGGGGGATATGCAGGAGGCAGCCAATCAATGTTCTCTCTCATCGATGTTTCTATCTCTCTCCCTCTCACTTCCCCTCTCTCTAAAATCAATAAAGGAAAAAAAAGATTTAGTTCTATATTTTATAGTAGCTACCCAATAATTCTATTATTTAAAATTCTTGAAGGTTTAATTCTCATTTGTTACATCCAGACTCTTGATCATGCTGAAATATTTTTTACTGTCTTTTATTCTATACTGTAAACTCATCTTCAAAGGGCTTTATAAATTGGAATACAGTTATCCCTCATCACTTCATGCTTCAACTTTTGCGGCTTCATTCTATCACGGTTTTATCAAATATATTCATTAAAAAGTTGATGGAGACAGTGAAAATGATACAGCACATGCTTGGTTGCCTGAGTAAATTGTACACCCCTGTATTACAATTAAAATTACTGTACGTATGAACTGTAGGCCTATGTATTTGAACACCCCAGGAATCCTTCAACGCCAAACGCAACTGGTAGTCTGGAACGGATTAACTACGATAAACGAGGGACGACTGTATACTGTGGCCTGGTTGAGGGTATATTCCTTTTTTTGGTACGTGCCCCTAGGAACCGAACCCGGGACTCTCTGGTCCGCAGGCCGATGCTCCAACCAGAGCCAAACTGGCCAGGGCAAGGGTATATTCCTTTAAATCTATTTGGTTTGTTGTTTTTTTCTTTTTTTTTGGTAGGTGCCCCTAGCCGGAACCGAACCTGGGACACTCTGATCCGCAGGCCGACACTCCAACAGCTGAGCCAAACCAGCCATGGCTATTTAATTTTGTTTTTGTATGGTATTCCAGCTTAGTACTATTTTATCTTTTTTTTTAATTCCTCACCTGAGGATATTTTTTCTACTTATTATCAGATAGAGTAGGAGGGAGGGAGAGAGAAAGACAGAGAGAAACAGTGATGTGATAGAGCCACATTGACTGGTTGCCTCCCACACAAGTCGGAGACAAACTGCAACTGAGGTACATCCCCCTGGCTAGAATTGAACCTGTGACTCATTGGTCTGAGGGCCGGCACTCTAACAGCTGAGCCAAATGAGCCAGGACTTAGCATTACTATTTATGTTAAGTTCTTGGCTTGGGAAATTTTACTACAAAGATTTATAGAGTTGATTTCCAAACTTGTCTGAGGAAAGGCCTGTGGTTATGAATTCCCAGGGAAGATCTTTATTTTTTATCCATTGCTCAAGAGGAAACAGATATACTTCTTGTTCTGAAGGGCAAAGATCATCTTCATCCACCCTTTCACTGAGGTTGTAGCTCTCTGAGGTTACATCTTTACAAAAAGAGGATAGGTCTCAATTCCCTTTGTCTATCCCATGTAGACCTATTTTGTGACCATTAATTCCTAAGCAATGTGGTTACCAAGAGAGGCAACACCATCCCCGAAAGTGACCAGAACACATAATCACTAGTCTTCTATCTACCTACACACTTTTGGTCTCTCAGCGCTTCCCTTACATTATATTGAGCTTAGACAGTTATTTAAAAGGCAGGTTATTAAGGCAATTCTATTGTAGGAAGTTTATTAAGCATCTTTGAAGTTGGATAGATTTCAAGTTATCCAATCCAGAATGGAAGTCTTACACTGATTTTTAAATAGGTGTGACACTGTGATTATAATAAGAAATACATATTTTGGTCATCATCCAAGGTTCCTGGTACATAGCTCCTAAAACTCTTATAATTTCCTATGTAAGAGGTATAGGGGCATCTTTTGTTGTAATATTTAGGTTTGTCTCAGTTCTTAAAATAGCTTGAGTGATAAAGGTAAAACAAATGTCTTTAGTTATTCACAATAAACACCTTTCAGCCACACCTGAGTTTATGGTTATTCAGGTAAATTTTGGAAAGCTCCTAAAAATGGGGGCTTGGTTGCCAGGGTAAGAACTTTCAGCCCTATTTTCCAGACCTCTGGGTAAGAGAAAGGAGATAGAGATTAACTTAATCACTAATGGGCAATGACTTAATCATTAATGCTTGCACAATGAAGCCTCCATAAAAATCCCTGAAAGGGGCTCACAGAGCTTTCAAACATAGGGAAGTAATGAAAAGGCAGTATACCTGGAGAGGACATGGAAGCTGTGTCCCGTTCCCCATGCCTTGCCCTATGCATCTCTTCTACTACCTGGTTGTTCCTGAGTTATAGTTTTTTACAACTTTAGTAAATAAACTGTTTTCCTTAGTTCTGTGAGCCACCCTGGCAAGTTAACTGAACCACAGTGGGAGAAGGGGGTGGTTGTTGGAACCTCTGATTTATGGCTAGTACTAAAAAATGCAGGTAACAACCTGGACTCCGATTGGTGTTGGAAAGGAGAAAGGGGAATGTTCCTGTGGGACTGAGCCCTTAACCTGTGGGATCTAACACTATCCAGATAGCTAGTTTTAGAGCTGTTCAAGAGAAAAAACAGACCCAAAATGGTGTCACTTGTGCTAAAAGCCCATGACACCAAACCTAGATTTAATACCCAATCTAATTGCAGTTTAAACCTCTCCCAGAAACATAATCTTAACCAGCACCAGTAATATAATCTGTCATCTGGGTCCTCTCCAGGCCTCCACAGAAAGAGGTGGCAATCTGCATTATAAAAACCCTTCCCATCTCTTCCCTGAGAATAAAAGATTTCCAGGCCCCCAAATAATCATTTTTTTTTCTTTTTAAAACCTTACAAGCACTTTACTGGCTCACCTAATTTAAAAAAAAAAGAAAAAGAAAGGTATATTGGCTTCAGTAGTTTAATTTAGAACCTATTCTCTTTTTCTTTATCCTAATTTCATCTTTTTTTTATATCCTCACTCAAGGAAATTTTCCACTCATCCTTAGATTAAGAGGCAGGGAGAGGGAGAAAGAGAAAGAGAAACATTGATGTGAGAGGGACACATCAACTGGTTGCCTCTCACGTGACCCCAACCAGGGCCGGGGACGAACTGCAACTGAGGTAGGTGCCCTTGACCGGAATCGAACCCAGGTCTCATTGGTCTGTGCGCCGATGCCCTAACTGCTGAGCCAAACCGGCCAGGGCTATCTTAATTTCATCTTAACACTACTTCCTCTATTGTTCTTTTTTCCCTTTTCATTTATTAATAGTTCCCTTGCCCAACCCTTTTTCCTATAAAACCCTTCTATTTTGTACAACCCCTCAGGTGATTCTTCTAGTTGCAAGATGGGATACTACCCTTAATTGCTTAACAGAGCCAATCAGATCTTCAAATTTACTCAGCTGATTTTTGTTTTTTTGTTCAGATAAGAGTGGGAGGGAGAGAGGAAGAGAGAGAGAGAGAGAAACATCAACGTGAGAGAGAAACGTCGACGTGAAAGAGACACATCGAGTGGCTGCCACCCGCACAACCCAACCAGGGCTGGGGATAAACTGCAACCGAGGTACGTGCCCTCAGCGGGAACTGAACCCAGGTCTCTCTGGACTGCAGGCTGACGCTCTAACCGCTGAGCCAAACTGGCCAGGGCTGATTTTTGTTTTTTAACAGAACTGAATTAAATTGTAGGACACCAAGCTAGGTATCCATAGAGTTGGAGAATAGCTTCTTGTAGGGTAAAAATGGACAAACATGGTCATACAAGTGCCTGAAGTAGAGAAGAAACACAGGAGTGTTTTTTCTAGACAACGGGTAACATCATAATATAATCACAGGGAAAATCAGGGAAAATCTAGAAACTTTCAGAACATCTGTGTTGGTGAGAATTTTTGTTATTTAAGGTCATCTAAAGTAGATCCACATTTTCTACTTTTCGGTAGTTGGATCATAATGACCTTAGGAAGAGTATACCTTCCTGCTTCTTGACTTTGGGTCTGACCATGTGACTTGCTTTGGCTAATGTATTATCAATAGAATTAAAATAAACAAAAGGTTGATACATGCTTGGATGATTGGACTTGCCCCTTTGCATTTCTGCTATTGCTATGAGACCACGTCCTAGGTAGGCCCTGGCCCCAGAAGAGAGGCACATGGAGTAGAAACCAGACTCTGGAGTTTAAGTTCAACCTAGAATAGCTGAACTCCAAGTGACATGCAAATACATAAGAAAGAAATGTATGTTACTAAAATCCACTGCATTTTGGGTCATTTTTTATGCACATTACTGTGAAAATTGCTGACTGATAGAATTGCTTGTCAGAAGCTCATAGGCTCTTTTCCTAAAATAAAGCATTGGAAATACGTTATTCTAAAGGAAGTCTTTTGTCCTGAAATTTTTTGTTCTGCTCAAGAGACTAGGTTAATTAGTTATAACACATTAATACTTAATGATCTGCCTGGAAATCTGTCAATAACATCTAATATAAAATGGAGCACCAACCTGGTATTTATTTAAGAAGGAGAGATCTGAGGTTTCATTTAAAGGAACAGAAGATGATGTGACATGAACATATGAATTTAGTTCTGCAATATGCTGAAGAACAGCTTCAGCCCTTAAAAAGAAAAAAAGAAATGATCTTTAGTATTCTTTCATTCAATATACTCAATTTCTCAAACTTGGACACTGACATCAGAGGAATCTGAATGTTACAAAATGTCAATGGAAATTTAATAAACCATAGAAGAAGAAAAAAGCTGGGACATATGTTTATAGACAACTACACAATCTGGAGATGTAGCATACTGTTGTATCCCACAGTTAAGACACAATCTCAAAGTGTACCCTTATCGTTTCAAGCTCCAAACTCCTTAAGTCTTTTAATGATTCAGCAATAATCAAGATCTCCTTTAACAATTTTAAAGAAATTCATCCCTAGGTAGCAATGTGAATGTATTAAAAATTTGACAATTTTAAGAAATTAAATATATGTCAATACTTATTTATTGATGCTAGTATGACTTTATGGTGATGAGTTAAACAACTATCACTGAACAAGTGTTCTGGATATTGATAATATTTTAAGTAATTGCAAGAATAAAAAAATATTCTATAATAATACATCAAAATATCTTATCTTCACCTGTTTCTCCTATTAACAACATCATCTTCACAGAGAAAGAAATTGGTTCCTAGATCCCATGCTTGGCATTTTTCTACATCATGAATTGTAAGTGCCTTCAAAAAAGAAGAAAATACTTGTTAAATTCAAAATAAGACAATGATGTTCATTATCTACAATTCTATTTACATTAAATTAAAAGTATTATCCTGGCCCAGCCAGTATGGCTCAGTGGTTGAGCGGTAGACCCATACCAAAAGGTCACCAATTTGATTCCCAGTCAGGGCACAGGCCCAGGTTGTGGGCCCAATCCCCAGTGGGGGGCATGCTGGAGGTGGCCAGTCACTGTTCACTCTCATTGATGTTTCTATCTCTCTCCCCCTCTCCCTTCCTCTCTCTAAAATCAATAAAGAAAAATAAAATTAAAGTATTATCCTGTATAATTAGACTACAGAAAGTTATTACAGGCCTAAGAATTAGAAAAGATGCAAATTAGCTGTATTCACAAATGAAAAGACTATACATATCTGGAAACCCAGAAAAATTAATGAAAAAACTACTTTGAACAGTAAGAAAATTTAAATTTAGAAAAAATAGCATGCTATGTAAATCAACATACAAAAAAATTTAAAAATTCACACCAACAAACATTTCTGGATGTTCCATGCTTAAAGAAAGAAAGATAACTGACTAACTGGACAACATTTTTGTAGCTTATATTATAGGCTACAAATATTAATAAAAAAGAAGAAAAAGGTGAGGGGGGGGGGGCATGGGCCCTGGCCAGGTGGCTTAGTTAGCTGGAGAGTCATCACCAAACAGTTGCAGGCTTAATTTCTGGTCAGGGCATATACCTAGGTTGTGGGTTTGAGCTCCAGTTGTATACAAGAGGCATCTGATCAATGTTTCTTTCTTATATCGATGTCTCTCTCTCTCTCTCTAAAAATCAGTAAAAATATATCTTTGGGTGAGGATTAAAAAAAAAAAGCCCTGGCTGGTTTTGCTCAGTGGTTAGAGCATCGGCCTGAGGTTCAGAGAGACCTGGATTCGGTTCCCACTAAGGACACGTAGCTCGGTTGCAGTTTGTCCCTGGCCCTGGTTGGGTCGTGCGGGTGGCAACCCCTCGATGTGTCCCTTTCACGTCAATGTTTCTCTCTCTCTTTCCCTCCCATTCTATCTGAACAAAAAAATGGAAAAATGTCCTCAGGTGAGGATAAAAAAAAAAGAAAGAGCATGGTATATGAACACGAATTATACTGAAAAAACAAATGCATCTGGCCTTATAAAATATTTAAGTGTTCAAGTATGAAATAACTTCTCTCTCTCACCCTAGCTGGTTTGGCTCAGAGGTTAGAGCGTTGGCCCGCAGACCAGAGACACCTGGGTTCGGTTCCCACTAAAGGCACATACCTCGGATTCAGTTTGTGCCCGGCCCTGGTTGGGGTCGTGTGGGTGGCAACTACTAGATGTGTCTCTCTCATGTGGATGTTTCTCTCTCTCTCTCTCTTCCTCCCACTCTCCCTCAAGATAAATACAAAAAAATGTCCTAGGGTGAGGATAAAAAATATATATATATCTTTTCTCACTCATTAGAATGGCATAAATCTAAAAGTTTGACAATATGTTCTATTGATGAAAATGAGGTGAATCAAGCATCCTCATATATCAGTGGTAGAAATGTTAAGCTGCACAATCTCAATGGAAAGGAATTTGGCAATTTCTAGCAAAATGACATGTGCATTTATACTTTGATACAGCAATCCAACCTTTAAAAATCTATCCCAAAGACACAATGGGAATAAAACAAAAAGACATGTCTAAGAGTATTAATTGCAACACTATTTATAACAGCAAATGTTTGGAAATAATCAAAACATCCATCAGTGAAGAACTGGGTATAATAATATATGCTACATCAACAAAATGTATATCCATGCAGCTATAAAAAAAAGAATGAAGCCCGGCTGGTGTGGCTCAGTGCACTGAGCATTATTGTCCCATGGACTGAGAAGTTCTGGTTCAATTCCCGGTCAGGGCACATGCCCGGGTTGCGGGCTTGATCCCCAGTAGGGAGCATGCAGGAGGCAGCTGATCAATGTTCCTCTCTTACATCGATGTTTCTATCTCTCTCTCCCTAAAAAAATCAATAAAAACATATTTTTTTTAAAAAAGTAAAAAGATATTGATTAAAGAAAAGGAATGAAATATAATTATCACTATGAGGGTAATCACAGGATATACTGTTAAATGATAAAAGCAAGGTGGAGGAAAGTATGGCACTTTAAGAAAGATGGGTGGGAATAAATATTTGCATAGTTATACAGATCTTCATGTTTATCTGTATACATTTGTTTATATTTAAAAACAGAAGAAAAATGGAAGTGACCTAATAAGGAGTGTTATTGTCTTTCTTGTCTCTTGCTAGCTTACTCTGATGAAGCAAACTGTTGTATGGAGAGGGCAACATGGCAAGGAACTGAGAGTGACCTCTGATTAACAGGCAGAGAGAAACTGAAGTGGGAATGCGCAGTGGCACAACATTGCCACTGAATCCTGTCAATAATTACCTGAGCAACTTTGGGAAGCAGATCCTTACCCTAGATAACTGCAGATCCTGCCAGTATCTTGATTGGAGCCTTGTTAGAGACCCTCAAACAGAGGAACCAGCTAAGTTGTGTCTGATTCCTGACTCACAGAAACTGAGATAGGTGCTGTTGTTTAAGTTGTTAAGTGTTGGGGTAATTTATTTCATATCAATAAATAACTAATATAATAAAATTAAGAAACATTTTTTTAGTGTGAAAATAGTATTGTGGTTATATTTTCAAAAGGCATCCATATCTTTTATAGTTATATACTAGAATATTTAAGGATTATTATAATAAGATGTCTGAGACACAAAAATAATTTGATGGGAGGGGGAATGGGAAGGAGATACATAAAATTTAAAAATTAAAATTTGTCTATTAGCTGATAATTATAGCTGCATGATGGATACATGGGGTTTTGTTAAAACTATTCTATTTTTGTTTAACTTAAACATTTTCTATAATAAAAAGTTTTTTAAAAAGAGTAGCCCTGGCCAGTTTGGCTCAGCGGTTAGAGCGTTGGCCTGCGGTCCGGAGAGACCCGGGTTCGGTTCCCGCTCAGGGCACGTACTTCGGTTGCAGTTTGTCCCCGGCCCTGGTTGGTCATGCGGGTGGCAGCCACTCGGTGTCTCTTCACGTCGATGTTTCTCTCTCTCTCTCCTTCCTCTCTCTCCCTCCCACTCTATCTGTACAAAAAATGGAAAAATATCCTCGGGTGAGGATAAAAAAAAAAAAAAAAAAAGAGTAAAGTAGAGCATTAAAACAATTTTGCTACGAAATAAAAAAGCAATAATTAGACCAAAGTACAAACAATAGTATCACTACTGACAAGAAAAAAAGAGTTTATGACAAATAATTCTTACCAAGGACATTTACTCACTTACTTTAATTCCGGCAAGGACAAGATTCTTTGCTGAAAAAAAAAGAAAAAAAAATAGCTTAATATTAGGAATGTATAATAGATAAGCCGTCATGGAGCTTGGTCACATCTCTGACTAGATAATTTTAACTTTTTTACTACATAAGAAATACAAGTCCCTGTGAAGATACAGATTAACAAAATAAATTTTCCATAATCATATCACACTGAGATACTCTTAAAATTTTAGTGTATTCTTCTAAACATATCGTTATGAACATATGTATGTGTGTGCTACATAATGAATTAACAAACACAGAGAATGATCATTAATGGCTAAGAGATCCAAGAGAGTCATTACTGGTTCCTTGTGGAAGAATGTAACAGTATTGTGAAGTAGTCTTGCCAAAAGAATCACAACTAAACCTGATCAAGGTTTTGAATTTAATTTTCTTTACAGAAATAATACATGGGGAAGGTGTTAAATCTTTAAATTATGTTGCTCAAAAGTGTTATGTAAAATTATGAATAAAAATTACTGCTTACCAATTTCCAAACCAAGACCACCCATACCACTTAAGAAAACATGGGACTTGGCCATCTTCTGCATTGCTGTGTCTCCAAGAACATACCTCTGTCGACTACATGTAAAACACAATGAAGAACAATAAATTATTTCATCAAAATTATATACCCCTTTAAAGTTGTTTGCAAACAGTTTGGCAACTAGATCCTGTCTACTGACTTGTTTTGAATCATCTGCATAGTGTTTACATTTCCTGAATTAATTGCTAAATATATGACACTTTCAAAAATTAGATTTGGCACCAAGGTCCAATTCCTTCATGGCAATAGACAGAGTGGAGTAGGAGTTGCCTAATTAAATTGGGGGGATTATGTTCTAGAGACTTGCCAGTTCCCACCCGGCTCCTCTCATTTATTACCTCAGTGGCCACAGTAGGCATTTGATTTTGCCATTTCCACTTTGATTTAGTCTTTCACTGTCAACAGGGTCTCTGAAACAAACAACTGGTTTCCTTCTTGGAAATTAAATGACTTAAAATTAAGTAGTTTTCAAATATAATTTTAATTATAAAAGCTGATAAAGTAGATCTCTAAAGGATCTTGTTAAGTCACCCATCTTAACAGCCACAAGTTAGTATCAGGATGGGAATTTCAAAAAATATACATTGGTAATTTAAAAAATTAGATACAGTAATAAAGGCAGTAATAAGAGTTTATTTGGGGTGTGTGTGATACATTTGATACCAAACCAGTTTTTGAAGGTAAATGGACATTCCAATGTATGCTTATGAGAATCATTTGACAAATGAGTTCAGTATAAAGAACAAATAATTCCAAGACCCCTTGGATTGCAAGTATTTCTTTTGGAATTCACACACATACACACACACACCCCTAGTTTAACGTATGTTTGTTTAATATATAAATGTTTACTTAATTTCCATATTTTAGTTATTCATATTCAATAAAAAGCCTGAAAAGGCATTTCTTATTTAGTCAGAAGAAACTTCATAAACACAATCTATCTTTACTTCTTCCTTATCCCCTACAAAATATAATAAAACCTAAACTTTTCTTTTGAAATTGGTATTCACCATATATTTCAAATATAAAAACAATTCATTTATTCATTATTTATTGAACTATCTACTCTGGTCTGTATGACATAGTATACTATATAGCCTTACTACCCTTATTTGTGTACCCCTGAACAATACATTTTGAATGTCTTCTTCGGTGTCTTGCTTCTTTTGAATGAAATTACATTTATGAAATTTATTCGTATCAATGGGTACAGTTATTCATTTTCATTTCTGGTGCATTATATTGTATTGCATCTTTCTACTGTAATAATATACCACAATTTAGCTATTCTATAGTTTTGAAGAGTTGTCAATAACAAGTCCACGAGCATTCTCATGTATGTCTTCTGGTACATGTGTCATAATTTCTATAGTGCATATACTAAAGAGGAAATGCAGGATTAACTTTATTAGATAATGCCAAACCATTTTCCAAAGTAGATGTATCATTCCTGGTAGTGTATCAGAGTCCCTGTAGTTTCACATCTTTAAAGTGAAGGAAAAAGTTAATATAGCAGGCCTAAACTTTAGCCTGCTTACAGGGCTAGTCTTTGGCTGATATACGTGAACTTAGCCTTTGAAATATTTTCTATGCTACTAAATTATATTCTTCTATTTTCTTTTTTCCTAGTGAAATAGGAACTTCTTAATTTTTAGGTTTTCTTTTCTAAAATACACATGTAAAACTTTAAACGATCATAAATAGCATCCTAAATTTTGAAACAGTACTTTTATTATTTTCCAATTTTGATTATTTTTTTACTTACTGCTTAATCTAAAGTGTATTTTTAAATTTCTAGTTCAGAGAAATTTTCTAGTTACCTTTTGTGTTAACTTCTAGATTAAAAGCACTGTGAATAGACATCACAATCTATGATTTCACTCTTTAATATCTGAGGATTCCTCTGGTCAATTTTATAAATGTTCCATGTGTTCTTGAAAAGAATACATACCCTACAGTTGTTGTTTTTAGATAAAACATCCTTTTCATAACATCCTTTACATATGCTTTAGATTAGTTTTAATCATATTGATGAAATTTATACCTGCTGTGATTTTTTGTCTGCTAGATTTTTTGATTACTGAAAGCAACATTTAAAAAATTCACCACTATGATGGTAAATTTGTCTCCTTATATATCATTATTTATATAGAGCTGATATATAACTTACTGAATGTTTACCATGCACCACACATTGTTTTAGTGTTTTACTTGTATTAATTCATTTAATCCTCACAAAAATTCTATAGGTAAGTTCTATTATTATTCCCATTTTTACAGAGAGGAAAACTTAAGCAAAGAGAAATTAAGTAACTTATAGTGGTGGCAAGATTCAACCCAGGCAGTCTAGTCTTAGCATCTATGGATGCTACATTGTAAGTAGAATAAGAAAAGTCAAACCACTCTACAGTGACTTATCAGAGAGAGAAAGAAAAAAAAAAAAAATCAATTCCCTGACCTTACTCTTCCTTACCCCAATTCCCACTCCTCAAGGACAACCACTCTCCATCCTTCTAGTTATTTCTTCTGATATTTACCCCACTATTTCTCAATAACCTGTTTATATTTTTATTTCTTGATTTTTTAGTTTTAAAGTATTTACCCGCTAACTTCCTACTCAGAAAGATAAATGATCTTTCTAAAGTGCAAATCTGGTCAAATAATTCTCCCACTTTAAAACTCCAATTGTTTCTTATTTCCCTTATGATAAAGTCTAGATTCTAACATTAGTCACAAGGCCGTTCACAATCTAGTCTCTGCTTGGCTCTTTAGTTTCATCTTTTGTCACCCCTGCACCAAACTCCATGTTCCAGACGTACCAAAGGTTTTCAATTCTTCAAATGTGGCATGTTCTCGTTGTCTGGTAGATATTTTTCTGGATAATCCTCTCCCCTAGTATTTTATGTCGGAATAACTCCTACTGGTCCTCAGGTCTCATTTTTTCATTATTTGCAACCCCCTCCCCCATGATGCTTCACTTGATACCCCTAACCTTTATCAAGAAGGTATTGAATCATCTTCTATGTACATACATAACATCTTACATTCAATCTATTATAACACTGATCACAGTGCATTTTCACTATTTATTTGTGTATTTTTTCCTAGGAGGTTGTAAATTCATTATGGCTTTATTTTCTATTGTATCTCCAGTGACTAATTAGGCCTGGCATATTACAGACACACAATTTACTAAATTAATGAAAGAAATGACTTGGCACACAAAAACAACACTTGTACACTCTATTAAGCAGATAATTTGAATTATTCTTCCTATGGTCACAGTCACAAGAACTACATTAAAATATATGCTTTTCACCTCAGACTTGCTCTCATAATTTATTTTTAAGATTACTTAGGCAAATAATGAATAGCCAGGGCATAAATGTGGTTATAAATGACAAAGAATATACAGGACAATAGAATAAAATTAACATACACAAACCAAGGTTTTCCAAAGAGTCATATATTCTCAGATTCTCATTACCTAAATCACCTTTGACAATTGAAAATGACTTTTCAGTGTTTGGCCACCAAGAGGAAGGGTACTAATTAAGTTCTTATTTTGTGCTAGGCAATGTCAGATACTCTGCAGTTGACACTTAGGTCCTATGGCACTCATGTTGTTAGTAAAGTAGTAGAGATGGGATTTAAAGAGCCTAGAGTATAATTTCATTACAGCTGACTCTATTAACTGGACACACAACGTATCAGCGATTGCATCCAGTAAATAAAATTACCAAGGCTATCTACTCTACTTTTAGAGAGCCCTATTTATTAAAGATTCTCTCCTTTATGAAGATACAACATCACCGTATAGTTTTCACCTATAGTCCTAATTTTACCTCCTTGGGGCCATAGGGAACTCATCTAGTCCCTCCTTTGAAGTTTCAGCCCGCCAAACATTTGAAGATGGTATTCAGATTCCAGAGTCTTCTTTCTCCAGGCTAAACATCTCTAGATCCATAAACAATTCCAAAATGACATCATTTTGAGTCCCCCTCAATACTCTAATCACTTTCTTCTGGATGTACTTCAATTATCTTCGTCATGCATTCATAACTTTTATTAAAATATCTATTTCAAGCCAGACACTGAAACTCTGTGGGAATTATATAAGGAACAACCTCATATGGGTATTATGAGGTTTAAATTAAAAAAGATAAAATATATAAAATACTTAGCAGAATGCCTGTGACATGTTACTGGGAGCGAGAGATAAATAATTCATTATTAAGTACTATATAAAGAAGTACCAAAAACTAAGGGAATCTGAAATACAGAAGAGGAAATAGTTATCTCTATCAGTGGAGATCATAAAAACCTTCACATGAGGTTCATCCAACTTAAATTCTAAACACTGAATAGGAGTTAAAAAATTAATCAAAAAGGAAAAGCCAGAAAAACATAAAAAAGAATGGCATATAAGAGCTATGTTATATATATATATATATATATATATATATATATATATATATATATATATATATATATATATATATGACTTCCATTTCTGGCTATGGTGAATTAACAGGGACCAGGTATATCCTCTTCCTGCCGTAAATGAAAACTGGTAAATAGAAATGAAACAATAGATTTCAGACACTAGACAGTAGGCTAACTCAGGAAGTAATCTCAAAGAAGTAAAACAAATAAAGTAAGCTTTATGACTGCCTTAGCTACGGCTTGGAGAGTTTCCAGGCTTCAAGTGCAGGAAGAGAAACCCAAAGAGAGCCTGCTGGTCACCCTGACTTGAAAAGACAGGGCTGTTAATTCAAGGGTGCTAGAATTTGCAAGCAGAGATGTGAACACAGACAGTACCAGAGATCTGTAGAAGGTTCTCCTTGAGTCCTCCTACAGCTAAGTAAGATCAGCACATGCATCTCAGGAAAAAATCTCAAACTAGGGAAAGAAGCATGAGAACAATAATACCACTCAGTAATAAGGCAAAATTAGTCCCAGAGTTAAGTCTCTGCTGGCTTCACCTAACAAAGCTTAAAAGTAATCTGGAAAAAATAAAACTGTTTTCAAG